CATTTTAATTAGCAAGAGTTATGTTCCTACCACAATGAGCAATTGCATAGAATAACACAGTGGAAAATTTCAAGAGGATTTTTTCCACTTTGTTGAAAGCACTGAAGATATATGGTGTGTCTTCAAGAGCTGAACACTTAACCCAGGGCCGTGACAACAAATTACAGCATGGTATCAACCCAAATGCCCCATCACAACCCCCTGCTTATTTCCTGTACAGCAACACCGAGTCCTCTGGGACAGAAACTTCATCTGCAATGCCCTTAGTGACACAGATTTAATCTCAAGTGCAATGTATAGGACTAAATTTACAGTAATACATCTGCAACTTTTCTATAGTTTTCCCATGTTCATGTTAGGCTTAGCACAATGATAAAGGATCAAGCATAATAAACAAACAAACAAACAAATAAATAAATAAATGAAAATATAAAAGAGAAATATAAGAAATTGTATAAGAAAATGTGGAGAGAATGAAAGCAATTAATCACTGGATATGTACAGCATATAAGCAGTAGCAGCAGGTACTTCAAAATGAACAGCACAGAGCTGAATTTTCATGGAAGGATGTTCCTGCTGTTTCATACATCAGGGCTCTTTAATGTTAAGTTTTACATTTCATGCAGGCATGACACAGTCTGATCTTCACCACTTTCCAGCTCTTTTCAGCAATCCTAAATGTGGATTTGGATAGCCTGCATAGACCCTGGGAATATCCAGTCCTAGGCTCTGAGGGAGCTGATCCCTCCGGCCTGCTCTCAGACCTTTTTTCAAGGACCTTTAAAAGTTTTCTGGAAGTCTGAGGACAGGGACATGGGCTACACAGGCCAGATGAGCAAACTGCAGAGAGTTAATTTTATTGTCCTTTGCCCATAGGCTGAGGAAACACACCAGAATTGGAAAGTGTCTGTTCAAGTCAGTGGACTAACATTCAGAGAGCTGCCATCCAACTGCAATCCAACTTTTCATGCTTTCAGTAGTCAGCCAAATGGGCCTGGGGAGGAGGATTTGACCCTTTCAGAGCAGGAAGAATGCTGTAATTACTGTGAAAGTAGAAAGAACTTGTCCTTTAGGTTACATAACCCATGTTCCTGCTGTCTTACATAACTATGGGGTACTAAATAACATGTAATTGAATGAAAGCTGCAACACTGAGCTTGAAAATTTGCTGAAATAATTAATATCACCAGTCATTATATTGATTTATACAGTCGGTATTCCAGACAGAGCCAACCATGGTAGGTTATTATCCTTGGGAATAAATGTATTCAACTGCTGTGCACAAACAAAGGGAAAAGTCAAAGAATATAATTTGTAACATTTGCAGCTGAAAAAACGGAGATGCTGAATGCATTGTGTGTGCTGCACGAGGAAAAGTCATGCTGAAAAATGAATGGAGAAAGAAAGAGAGGCAGACATGAAGGATTGCTTAGCACCCAGCCTAAAGTATAAAGTGATACTGACAGCTTGAATATATTGTTATTTGCACAACCCTTTTATTTTGCCTCTCTGGTATTACTCACAGTCCAAAAGTAGAGTTTCTGCTGTGTATGACTGTGTCAATACATATAAAAACACACATACATGTACACATGTAAAATAACTTTACAAGAATGGATATTGGTTGTCGGAGGACTTCAAAGTATGAAGTGATACAACTTCTGTATGTAACTTTATCGTGGTAACAATATTGCCAGCTAAGAATAAAGTTACAATTTGTATTATTATCCATTGTAATGAAACTGTTATTTTTTACCTGCAAATACAAGGCTGGCTTTAGCTCAAGTGCAGGATGAATGCTAAACCAGAGTTAATGAATAATTCATAAATGTTACATAATGCAGTGGCTCATTCTGGGATTCATGTTTGAAGAATGGCTTCTGCTGGTTAGACGCTGTTTAGATTCTGGACTAGTGACACCTTGGCGTGACCTGCCTGCAACGAGATAATGATGAAAGGGTTGGTTTGCTGTCTGGGGTTTTTTTTCACCATTAAAATTTTATTGAGTTTTCATTACACAGACGTATCTACAGAAGACTGAAAAAAGCATATACGCAAATTCTGCAAGCGTGATCCAGTCCCCGAGTTGACTGCAGAGCCAGCAACTGCCTGGAGTAAACCAAGGGCCTGTTCCCACCACGTCCTGTGCAAAACACAGAACAGCAGGGAGAATACCATGCTTGGCATTGGGAAATCTGGGTCCATCCAGATGCCTAGGACATGACAGAAGCACGGGTGTGATTTCCCTCCATGGCCTTGAGCGGGGAAGAGGAAAGGAAGGAAGACTTTAACGCTCACAGGACAGGGACTGAGCCTGTTACAACTCGACCATATACTTGTCTGATGTCCTCTCCAAGGCACTCAAACAAAGATACACAGAGTTCACTAAGGGCTCTTCAGCTGCATAGTTCCAGCATTATGAGAGAGTTTTATCCACAAATATAGAAGGAGCAGGAATCAGAGGGTTTAGGGAAACTTTGTATAGTAGTTTTGGAGACAAAATCGGTTCATATATCTCAGAGAAAAAAAACCCAAAATCATAACTGCTGTGGGCTGAAGGGTTGTACTTGATCCAAGTTAGTCCATGCTGAGCTGCTGTACTCAGTTTTAGTGCCTCTCCTTCCATTTCATCTGCTATTGAACACAATATTAATCTAAAGGTCAAAACAATAAAACAGTTCAACTGTTTGTTTTGTTTTTTTCTTTTGATGGCCTGTATCTATCAATGGGATATAGCAAGAACACTACACAGAACTCTGCTTTCCATGCAGGTGAAGGTGCAGTTCAGCATCCTGGCTCTAATTCAATATGGGCTCATGACTCTCACTCTCCTTTTCCCATGACCACAAAACAGTATATTTTCTATCTCTCTTCCATACCTGCTATTTAAGGGGTCAGCGTTGAAGTGACTGGTTTTCTCATTTGAAGTGATTACACAGAACAGGAGAAGTAATTTCTTTCCCATCTCCTTGATGACCATGAAAATGTATATGATTCTTAGAGCTCCTGCATTTCTCTGATTCAAAATAATTAGAAAAGAGATACACACAGCACAAAACTAATTTACACATACCTCACACCTCTTGGAATGCATTTATAACCATCGCTGGCTTTAATAAATTCTGCCTCCCTGTAGTTGTTACTTGCCAAGAGAACTTGATAAAAGCCAAAGTGTCAAAAGGAAGACTAACAACTCACTGCCTGTGTCACTCCAACTGCTCCTAAAAATGAGGATAAATGCGAATTATTCTATTAAATTTAAAATTTATTTGCTACTCTGAGATTTAGTAAAAACCTCTGTTCCTCTGAGGGCCATCCCTGTCTGCTTCTGCAACGACCACTGAGAAGCCAGCCTACACAGTCCAGAACAGCAGCGTGCACAAACACTGCTCTGACTCCCAAAACCATCACCACGGTGTTCGTAGGTGGGAATAGGGAGCTCACAGCAGGAGTCATACACCCAAAAGCAGCAGATTTTGTGCTATTGCTCTGAACCAGTTCCCCAGCATCCACACAACCTTCAGACATGCAAGCACTGAGAGCAAGACTGAGTAAGCAGGGCTGCAGGGTGGAAGCGTCCCTGGGTCCTCCCATTAACACTGCTCAAACACCATTGGGAGGGTGCAACTACTGTCCAGATAAATATCACAGCAGGTGCAGACAGCACATGCACTGGTGCAAGCTGCTGCCTGGAGTTATTCCCACAGTATTTTCACTGGATACTGACTAAACTATTGTTAGATCAAGTACATCACATGTGTTGCTGCAGTTTGATCAGTGCTCTCTGAGGTCAGAGCTGTGACAATTGAAATCACAACAGGGATTAAGCATTTCTAGTTTAACCTGTTCCATTTGAGAAAAGCCCTTAAACAACTACATGCATTCTTGCAAGTCTCTTAGTTTTGTAAAGAATCACGATTAGCTGATGGCATGTTTTTATTCAGCTATGCTGCCATCTAAGAATATGCAAGGCACAAGTGTAAAATGACTAATCAAAAAAATAAATCCAATTAAAATTTTCTATTGTTGCATTGCTGTCTCCAGTCACACGAGAACCTGCAAGCAAACCTTCAGCCTAGGGAGCCTTTTGCTTTCTAAGGAGCACATAATTTCTTGATTTGAATACAAGGTAGAGGACTTAAAATATGATCTCTACATCTGAGCAAGCAGCTGCTCTGTGGTGTTGCTCCAGCGACAGGGCAGAGAAGGGATGATTACAGTTGGATATGGATATGAGACAAAAAAGCATATTGTTTAGGTTCAGCAATACTGAAATATACTTAGCGCTGTCATTTGAATGCAATGCTCTTTTCCATTTAACCACAATGACAAAATGGTAATTGCCTGGCTACAAATTCTATACCATTTAAAAAGGTATAGAAACTGACAAACAGGCAGAATTCTCTCCAAAAGTCAGAGACTAACCTGTCTAAACTGTGCAGCTTACTGCTGAGGGTAACAAATCACTCAGAACACCCCACCCCACCCCACCCCACCGAGCAGTTAGACAATACCACTGAGTGAGTAGGAGACTCCTCTACTACGTGTAAAGCACTTTCTGGAACTGTTAACTCACTGGTTATCTGCATGTTCCTGTATGTTGTGCTAATAATGCTGTTTCCCAATGAATGAGATATTTGAGATGTCCATTAAAGATCTTACATTACTTTAAAAATAGTAGATCTATCAAGCAAAGTATTCAATGAAAAGATTTAAATAGTTGTATGCAACAGCTCATACACTTAAGTTCGTCGTAATGTACAACTGCATTCTAACAAGATCTTAAATTTCTAATTAAGAATTATCTGCTATTTATCTGCCCACTTTTCCTTTGAGTATAAGCAGCTGTGCTGGCTGCTACACGGCACTTTTATAATACTGCTAATAGCAGCTAAGCAGCTGTCAAGCTTTGCTTGACAGGTGACAACAGTTTGATATCAAAGTCACACTACCATATTCTTAAAGTGCACAAAGTGTTTTGCAAATCCTCAGGAAGAAAACAGGCTGGTACAGAGCACAGAGCCTGTGACAGAATAACCTCCTAGCAGTGATGAAGGCAGTGCTTTTTCCAAGTCTGTTCTATCTGTTTGTAAGTTTGCGTAGGTGTCAGTGTAGAGAGTGATGACATATCCCTATCTCTCCTCTTGGCATTAATACAGCAACAACTGGAACTCATCTGTATATTTTGTTCACAGGAATTCAGTTACAAATGCTGCAGCAAAGAAGTGGGGAACTGTGATGTTCAAGTGCCTTAATGAATTTCAGGTTTGTTCCTATTTGTGTTAGTCTGTGACAGTGTGTGCCTGTTCAGTAGCTCTCTCTTCTGCAGTTAGTAATAGGCTAGGTACAAATCTAGCTAAACTGAGTTTCTATAAGACAGCAAAATTAATAGTTTAAAAATTCAATTAATTTCTGTCCATATCTTGAGATTTTACTGCAAGATTTTAACATTCTTGTTTCCTGAATGCTGACAGGAACAACTTACACTGATTTGCAGTATTCACCCTCTATATGACATCACTGACAGCTTCATTACAAGGGATGACAATTTTTTTTCCATGTGGTTATCCTTAATGCAATTAAATACACTTTGTATTTTCAAGCTATTTATTTGGAAGGGATTGTGATTGGATTGTTATCACATCAAGGTTATTTAACCTAATATATAGTACGAGTCACAAAACAACCAATATGCTTCTGAAAGAGAGGTTATCAACTGATACTATTTAGAATAATTTTTGTGAGATATTAAAGAGGTATTTTATTTGCAATCCTATGCCATTTGAGTTATCCAGAGGTGCTTATAATATGCCCCCTTAGGACAACTCATTTCCTACTTGGAAATGCAATTCAGGTCCCACTTTTTTCAATGAGAATTTTGCCATCAACTTTAATGAAATCAGGATTTTGTTCTTACTATATACAACTCAGCTTCAAACTACTCCAAAATGCTGGCATGAATTATCACTGTCTTCTGCTCCTGCTGTAGAATTGCAAACACAATAATCAGGCTGGAGGTGTAAAAGTAGCAACAGAGAGAGAGAGAGAGACACAAGAATTGAGGGAGAGGGTCACAGCAGCACCACACACCATGTAAACACTGTCACCCATGTTGTCATGTAAATCTGCATGAGTTTCCAGATTAATCCATCTTCTCTAATTAAAGTCGTTTAATATGTAACCCACAGGCATAGAACAATGCTTAGTTTCAGCCAGACATACTGCTATAATCAGCATATTTTCAGAAAATTCATGCATAATAAATGTCAGTGTTATATGAATTTATAATGTATACACAGAAAGAGATTATACCTATTGCAAAAGCTTTTCTCTAAGATAGCATAAAATTCTGTACCTCAACTGGTACTTCAAATAATGAAATCTTTTCCTGATCCACTGCATAAAGCAATTATGCAAATTTCTGCTAGTGCTCTATTTCTATAATGCTTATGATTGAGACTTTGACATGATCATAATTCATCTGGCTGGAAGATTGTACAAGAGGCACAAATAAAGCATAATTTTAAAGAAAAAATCCATAGATAGTAAGCATTTCAATGTCCAATAGTAGCTTTTTCCTCTGAAAAGATTCCACCAGCCATCAAAGACTCTCAAGCTCCTGTTTCAAAGGAGTTATGTGTGGCTGATGCAGACTCACGCTAACTACCTCAGTTAATTCTGTTTCCCACAGCTCAAGCATTTGAGGCTTTGCTGAAACCCTGCAAAGGCAGAGATTCTGTGGAGCCAGTCTCGTTCAGCATGGACACCTCCACAAGCTGCTGCGTGACTGGCAGACCTGCAGCAAGGCACAGTGACCAGCAGCAGTGATGGCACAAGTGGGTGACATCACCAGCTTTTGATCTCCGGTCCAGTGATTGAGTCACAGGTCAGGCTATCTTCTATTGACCATGCCAGCATCTACGGAGCTCCTTAGCAGTACAGACTAATGGAAGTGGGTATCTGTGCTTGCAATTGTGGCTACAGAGGTTATTACTTTGCTCATCAGAAGAGCCTTGTAAACAGTGCTACAAGTCGCTGATGCGTGCTTCATTTTAAGTCAGCTCACAGTAATGCCACACGTGTGTGGCAAGAATGAAGGAGCCTAGAGTGAGTAGATTAGCTTTTAGATTTGTTTTTTTTTTATCCCAAAACTAGATAATTAAAAAAGGAAATAAGCAGGTTCTCAGTAAATTTGGATGGTTCACACCTGTTATGAGAAGCAGCATTACCTCAGTGGAGAACTCCCTGCTTTGTGAAGTTCAAATGAAAAATCTCTCACAAGCTCTGGTGTGTCTGCTTCTCCACTGGTGCATTAGAAACAAAGTGTCAAAATGAACTGACAGCTTTTCATTTCTTTCTCCAATTAACAATCCCAGCAGCTGCTTGGTGGAAGAATAATAAGCTTCCTTCTTATTTTTTATCTCATTTAAGCAAAATGTTATTCTTGTTTGATGCAAATTTCTGTGGTTTTTTTTTTCTTATGACACTACACTTGCTGCAGTCAAGAGCTGGTTTTGTGTTCTTGTTTTAGCTGAGGCAGTGCAGAAAACAGATAATTTGATACATCAGTGCAGACACAAAATTAAATACTAGGTGTCAAGAAATCTCCCCTTTTCATGTGACATTAGCTTTTCACTGCAAAAAAAGGATCAAGACAAAATGATCACAAAATATTTTTTGTATTTTTGTATAATTTAACCTTGAACAGAAGCCAAGTTTTATCACTCAGCTTCAGCTCACAGTTACATTAATTACATTAATTTCTGTGCTCTTTCTTCAGCAAATTCAGTGTTTGACATATTCTTAAACTTAGTAGTAATCAACGTAGCTCAAAATCTTCCTAGGAAAAAACCTTTATGTGGACTTCAAAGAGGGACAACTAGCTTTAAGTAGCTTAAAAATTTGTGCTTGCGCTCAAAAGACTAGACTAGGGCTTAAAATCTGTAGCTCCTTTCTGGTTTTACTACACACTTCATGCATTACTCAACATAATCATCTGACCAAGGAAGACAATAAAAGTCCCCCTTGAGTCATCAGTACATTTTTACAAGAGCCTAATTTCCACAAGTTGTGCAGTATAAATGAAACAAACCTTAAAAGAAATTATATGCTTCAACTATTGGGAAATTTGGGGTTTGTAGATGGCCACAACATGTTCTTAAGCGACTCAAATGATACATTTCTCCTACAGGAAGAACAAAACAGCACACAACCACAGATGCATGTGTCCATGCAGTAAGGCTGCTTCTATGTATCACTTAAATAGATGAGAAAAGTTGCCAGTAAGTATGGCCAACTGTTCCTCTAATAAACAATATTTCTCTCAACAGAAAGCCAGCACCATGTGCCAATTCATAGGAAATGTGCCATTCTTTCCCTGTGCTATCACCACTGAAGATAATCAAGAGTAGCTCAGAGCACAAAAATACATTTTTATAAAAATGAAACCATGGGTGTTGGCATAGCACCTTATCTGCTCTGTGTGAGTATGGAAGCATTTGGATTGCTGCAGTGGACACTTTAAGAGCCTTTATTTCTTTTACGCTGTTGGCTTCTTGAGTACAACTTTGAGAATGCAGCCCAATAAATCAGTGAATGGTGCTCAGTGATATATTTGATGTGTTTGCATCCATGGACATGAAAGTCAAATCAAAGGTTGTGAGGAGGCAGCAGAGGTTAGGCCCTGTTTCAAAGGTGAGCGATCTATATACTCTGAGTCAGCCTGAACACAACACCAGCAGAAGTCAACAATTGAACAAATGCTCTGGATGGCACATAAACCTGTACAAATTTCTTCTGTGTCTTCTGAATGCCTGCCATTCAATTACTGCAACTCGTAAAGGGAAAAGGAGTCTCAGGAACAGTACGATTCCTCTTCACCATTAATGGCTGATGGGGAAGCATCCTGTTTTGGAGACTGAATTAGTTGATACATGTGCAGCTGCAATGTTCCTATCACCTTCAAGATGTTTTCACAGCAGGTTATTAGTCTGGTAGCTGTGCTCACATTATTTCTGCATGGCGTGCAAAATATACATTGCTCAGCCTCCCCAAAATGTTCATTGATTAGCTACTTCCGAACACACAATATTGTCTTGGGGCCCATCACTTCTTCCACTCACGCTTTACTCAAATCTAATACGAAACCTGCTTTCCATTCAGAATTGTGCAGGTGCCTGACACCTCTCCGGCCCTCTTGGAGGCAGACACGCTCCTGGAGCCAGCTACACAGAAGGTCAAATCAAATGGCTTAATGGGTAAGTATCACTCTTTGACTTGGTGTAATTATTTACATTTGACTAAAGCCTAACACGTACTTTGCCAAAGTTAATATCCTAAAAAGATACTCAAGCTTAGCTCAAAGGCATTTCAGGACATCAAAATATAGATCTATTGCAGCAGTTGTTACGTATCTTCAATCTTTCTGAACAGGCATATGTCTTGCTTCAGTTTCCATCTGCTGATCCTTACAAAAATACTGTTTAGGACACAATGCATCCTTTCCCATGAAAACACTACTTCATTGCAATTGAAACCTCTTTCAATATTTTTAATAAGCACATACACTAAAAATCAAGAAGCGGAGCCCATTTCATATTACACTTGCAATCCTGGCTGCTCTCATTTCCAAATTATACTCCTGATCCAAACTGGGATTAGGCAAATATGTTTTTTGTTTTGCTTTAATTCCCTCAAACAACAACTTTCCAACTGATGCCTAGCAGCATTCACAGCAACCCTGCAGCAAGTATTTTTGTGATTGTAATCCCCTCTGGCAGACACTGCTGGAAATTTTAGGGAAACCTTCAATTTTTTATCTTTAAAGCTATGCAGAGACAGAGTGGCTGCAAAATAACTACTGATTATTTCACTCTTTTTCAGTGACAAATACCCAGGGTGAGTAAGAGAACGTTAAAAGTATTTTGAAGAGAGATATTTTGTCCTACAGATTCCCATGGAGAGAAGGGGGTAGATTACTGTAGACAACTGGACAGACAGGGCCACTTTCAGCAACATGGTAAGTGCTGAACACTAGCATTTGCGTGAGCTCAGGTCCCAAGCTGTAAGCATCAGCTGCAGTGTGGTAGATGGGAACCCCCTTATCACAGAACAGATCCCGCTGGAAGGGACCAGCACCCTCAGGTCCTTCTCTGCAGAGATGCTCTCCAGCAGGTCATCCACAGCCCGAGCTGGTGCCTGGGGTAGTTCCTCCCCAGAGGAAGGACCGTGCATCTGCCTTTGTAGAATTCCAGACTGTTCCTCCCTGCCCATGGCTCTGACCTGTTGAGATCCATCTGTAGGGCTGCCCAGCACCCAAGGGTACTGGCCACTCCTGCCACCTCTGTCCAAAAGCTCTGTATTGTGGGTTTGTGCATAATGGCCACTACTCCCATTGCCAGCTGACAGTAAAAAGGAGGCTTTCAGAGAGACAAGGAAGAATAATTTTCACATATTACTTTTAAAAGGAACTGCTTCTAACAACAGAAGCTTTTTACATTACATTGTCAGGAGAGAGGTTTCTGCATTTTTAGCAAAGGCTTTTTTATTGCTCAAACATGAAGAAGCATTTAATTAATGAAATAACATGTTAAGGATGAAATCCAGTTCTATTCATCCAAAATCAAAAAAGGCCATGTCAGGCTAATAAGCTACTTCTTCCTAGTTGGGAATTTTATCTGGTGTTTTAAAAATTATAAGCTGAAATTTGAGTCTATAAATGTATACATTGAAGCATAATCATGAAAACATTCACTATACAAATGTTAATTTGTTTGAAAACACAATTGATTCTGTCCTTAAATTTACATTTAATGGAAAAAAAATCAATTAATTACAGGGACACATGTTTGTATGGGACCTACCCAAATAGCTAACAATAGCTAATTTCCCTGCCTATAGCAAAATGAAACTAAATATAGTGAGTGGATAGAGATTAATTTTGTAAATTTTCCTCATTACACCTTCCCTCTCTGCAACACAGTCAGAACAGCTGGGACTAATCAAGGGTCTGAATGAAATAACATGGTCCTAACATCCTATCATATAAAGATTTTACAATCTATAGTAAGCTCAGTGTGGTTTTTTCTAACTTGTATATATTAAAACTGGTTGTATTGCTAAATGTGGTAAAAAAGCACACCATGTGCTATCATCAGCACCACATTTTCTTCCCAGAGTTGGTGTAGAGTTAAAAAAAGGGGAAAATGTTTAATTTTTTATTCATGCTGGGCAAATAAAGGAAGGGATGGGTGCTTTTTCTATGTTTTTCTCCTAGTTTTTTTTTTTTTTTTTTGACTCCAGGTGTTTTCCAGATGGTATCAAATTGCTCCATAAAATGATCAAGTGTGTTCCCACCTGTACACTTGGTATCCTCTGATAAGTTCACACGGTAGGATGTATTTCCAAATGCTGATACAAACTATCCAGTGCTCCTGCATTTCTTCCCTCGCTATTTTACATATTTTAGCCCTTTCTATACAATGATGCCAAGAGTTTTTCACACATTCCACCAGGTCTACCAGCATTTATGGGCACTCAGAAACAAAGGATGTGGAATAATTCCCACCGTGAATCACAAAACACCATGTGCTTCCTTACAGAATTTTATTATAAAATATATAAAATAACACGTTTCTTCATACTTCTTGAAAAGTGTGAAAAATGTGTATTTTATGATTGGCTTTTCGCAAGTATTAAAATGAATATTGTATTATGCTAGAAAGTTATGCTATATTAATTTTCTTAAGTAGTGTATTAAATATAGTTTTAGGTTATAACATAATGTTAAAATAGAAACTATGCTATTCAAGATATTTGTTTAAAAAAGGACTCGCACCAAGACAGGAGCCACAGGACACCTAAATCTTTCAGAGAAAGGGAATTTATTGCTCCCTTATCAGCAGAAAACTGCTTCCCATCTCGCTCTGACTGGAAGACGGCATGAGGATTAAGAGGAAGAAGTTGACAGTGACCAGACAGAATCCTGTGTTTGAATGGAATTTATGCATCATGCATGAGATGTATGAATACGCATCAGGCGATTGTTTTTAAGGGTTAATCCTCTGTTAATGGGTGTCCTTTTTCGGGCTTGTGTTGCCCAGAAAAAGGTACCCGGACGTCCGTATCTCTTTGTTTTTATTGTCTCATATTGTCCTAATCTCAAAGGTTCAAATTTTATTATTCTAATTATATTACTATTTTCATAACCATTTTATTACTATTAAGCTTTTAAAATTTCAAAAACAAGTGATTGTCGTTTTTCACAGTGGACACTGGGAGGGCGGGCACGCGTTTCGGGGCTGTTTTTAAGCCCGCCGAGCCCGGCGCCCGCCCGCCTCGGGCGGCCCTCAGAGCGCCCGGCGGCACCGCCCCGTCCTCCGCCGCGCCGCGCTTTCGTCACGGCTGTGCCCGCGGCTCCACCGCCCCGCCGGGCCTCCACCGTTGTCACCGAACGCGCGGTGTCCCCGCCGGTGCCGCGCAGTCACGTTATCCTCGGATCCAACACTCGGGCTGCCGGAGCTCGGCTCGAATCTGCGGCCGCCAAAAGGCGGCCCGCGCCTGCCCCTGTGCCTCCAGCGGAACCGGAAGCATCGCCATTTTGTTTCGGGTGATGGCGGCTGTGGTGCTCCACGGCCGGGGGCTTTAGCGCGGGCCTGGCCGTGTGGGGACTCGCTGCTCGGACAGTCGGTGCTCCTGCGAGCTGCCTCCGCCTCGCTGCGCTCCCCGGTGATGTACGGAGGGCTCGGAGGGTCTCGACGGACTGCAGAAGAAGCAGGCCCGCCGCCCCTAATGTTGTTGTCAGGCGGGGGAGCGGTGCCCGGCCCCCCCGGAGGAGGTGGAGGTGGAGGCGGGAGTAGCCGTGTGGAGCTGCTGGTGTTCGGCTATGCCTGCAAGCTGTTTCGGGATGATGAGAAGGCTCAGTACCAGGAGCAGGGGCGACACCTTATTCCTTGGATGGGAGACCCCAAGATCATGATCGATAGGTCGGTGTAACACAACCCCCAGACTGTGCTGCGAGCTCTCCTGTGATAGCCTCTTTCTGTTCCCCCCCTTGTGCTGTGGGCAGTGCGGGCGGGGGTTGAGCAGGCGGCTCGCTCTGGCAGGCGCGGCGGGATCTTGGTGACGAGGCTGGAGGCAGCTCCTCCCGGCACGGCGCTCCGAGGGCGCTCTGGGAACGCTGCAGGCCCCCCCCGTCCGCGGGAACTTGGGGTTCCCCGCTCTGGCAGCGCTGGGAGCTCCCTCCTGGCACTCAGCGTGTGCTGGGTCTTTCTGCTCCACTTGTCCAGGCAGGGTGGAGAGTGGGAATGATCTGTTCCTTTTCAGTGCAAACCACAAACACCCTCTTTTTTCACTTGGAATCCAAGGGTGCCTGTTTCTGGGAGTATTTATTAGGCACATTGTATGTTCTGTAGGTGAGAACGGGGCTGTGTTGGGAGTGCAGAGGTGTTTATCCACCTTAAAGGAAATGGGAATTTCCTGTTTGTCCTACATAATCTGGCTGCAGGCTGTTGATGGGACACCCCAAAATCAGTTCTTCGTCTCTTTACTTTTCCCGCTGCTATGATTTACTGTATTAGACAGAATGGTTTTGATTTTGGGTGCTTGTTCTTGAAATTTTATGTCAGGGCTGGCTTCTTTTGGTTGTTCTGCCATAGGTCCAGGTTTGTGGCCACAGAGAGTAATAGAATCTGCTTTGATGTTCCTTCTGATCTCTTGAGTTGTTTCAGCACTGCAGGGTGGGATTTGGAAAGAAACTCGTTTAGAAAGGGTTACCTGAGTGTTTTGTTGGACAAAGTGAAGATGAGAGATCAGGTTGGTTATGTTTGAGTGGAGCACTGAAAGAATAATTAGGAGTTGTCGCTGACCCTGAAAACCTCAGTGCGAAAGACGGGAGGATTTTGGTTTGAAAAGGGTCACATAACATACTATAGATATTTGTTCCCTCAGTTTCATCACTGCTTTGGTGCTAGGCAGAATTTTCTTATTTTGACTTAAAAGCTGTATTTCTCTTGGAAAAATGTCAGTAGGGGAAGGTCTTTTGATTGCCTTCCATAGGACTGGAGAAAAAAGAAATGCCTTTGCACTGTTTTGGTGCTTACACCATTAATGATCATTGTCATTGAAATAAATTTGTTAAATTGGAGTAGACATGAAGGCAGGACAGAACAGCCATAAAAATATTTGTAGTTTTGTTTAATATCTGACACAATAATAGAAGTGCTGTGTTGCACACTTCTAATTAAAATAATTCCTGTGATTGATCTCATTCAGAGGTAGAGGCTGGTTTTGGGGTGCTCTGCAGCAGAGCCCCATTCACAGGTGTTACGGAAATTGTAGGGAGCAAACACTAAGTATGTGCATGTCTGTGCACATGTGCTGTAATGCCAAATAACATAGATTTGTGAGTTAAGATAGATTGAAATTGCTAATCTTATAAACTCCATTGGAAGCTTAGATTCCTTTTATCTCCAGCAGCAGGAAGTCTTCATTTTCACCATTTTGAGAAAAGCACATTGCTATGAGAAGACTTGGGTTCAAGTTTGCCTGTGGACAGAGCTTGATTAACCAGACCTATGTTTCATTTGCTTTCTGCTATAAGAATATTTACTTTCTTTGTTTTTGGTCTAGCAAGTTGCCACAAGTCAAGAGTTGTGTGTGGGAAGACACCTCAGCGGAGTCGAGCTTACTGTCACTTTACTTTCCAATCAGTTTCTCTTACTGATGCATAAACATTATCCCAATGCAGTGCTTTTCCTGCAAATAAAGTGGTTTCTTAGTAGAAAGGAACTGTACATCTTTGATCTTTGCCGATTTTGCGGTGAACCTCCTTAAATTGCATGTTTATGTTACTGTTCCTATGTATGTGTGTCTCTCTATCACATAACCCAGAACTTATTTCCTCAGCCAAATGGCTAGGGGCCGAGCCTAGCCATGATTTTACCTCCAATGGACGCAAGTTTCTATGGTGAAGATTTCTCCTGAGAGTTCGGGACTAGCAGAAAGAAGCGAGGAAATTTCGACCGTTTGGTTCTTACGGATAGGTATTTATGTACTCGGGTTTGTGTGAATGTAAGCTATTTGACTTTCCAGAAAAACGTATTTTGCAAGTGGCATTGATTGGTTGGTTGAAGCACGTACGGTAAGAGCTGTTAAGGAAGTGGATCCCACTTAAACTATTAAAGGATACCTTTGCCTTTAATTGTAATAATTTATTAGTTTCTTTGAGAGGAATTTAGACTATTAAACAAATTTTCGATAGTTGGTGACAAATGATTAGCAAAATTAATTGTAACTTCTAAAAGGAAGTATGCATTAACATATAAGTTGTTGTTTTGGTTTTTTTTCATTTTTATTGGGTAAGTATTTAAGTAGTCGCATAAACCCAAGCCCTAAGTTCTTTGCATTGACCAGTTGTTTCATCCTGCAGGTATGATGGGCGTGGTCACCTGCATGACCTTTCTGAATATGATGCTGAGTATTCCACCTGGAACAGAGATTATCAATTGTCCGAAGAGGAGGCTAGAATAGAAGCCCTCTGTGATGAAGAGAGGTATTTAGCCTTGCATACGGACTTGCTTGAGGAGGAGGCAAGGCAAGGTATTGCTCAAGGAATAACATGTTTTTTTAAGAAAGCAGGTTTAAATAAATTATTATGAAACTAAATTTACTCCTAATTTTATACTCTCTTTTTCTGATGTTATCTTGACAGTACCCAATGGATTTGAAAAGCAGCAGTCTTTGTGTATATGAGAGGACCTCAGGATAGTTTAACTGTAGATCCACACAGAAGTTGCCTAGATTCTGAAGGCAGACTGGGATTTCAGACCCCCCAGAATAAACACATTCTGCTTCATTTTTAGTGTTGTTTAAAGGAAATTCTGTGCTTTTATATGCATGATTACATTAAAGTGTCTTAATCCACAGCCTGTGTCTCTTCGAGAAGAAATAAATAGTCAGCATGTGTACATGCTGTGTTTTTTCAGTTTTTAATGAAAGCTAAAATCAGGACAAAACTTCTTTTTTAAAAACTAAAGTAAGAAATATTACTTCTTTTTTAATAAATTACCTTCTGAATATGTTCTAATGTTAGCAATTGCATTTTTGTTCAAGAGGAGGAATATAAAAGACTCAGTGAAGCTTTGGCAGAGGATGGTACCTATAATGCAGTGGGATTCCGTTATGGCAGTGATTATTATGACCCTTCAGAACCCACTGAAGAGGAGGAGCATCAGCCTTCAAGACAAAGAGGTAAGGGGTTAAAATAACAGGGGTTAATTGAGAGGGAAGGCCAAAGCATTTCTGTCTTGCAGTTGAGGGTTTAAAACATATGTGCTATTAAAGAGCAGTAAGAATTCTGAGAGCATGTCATCAAACTCCTTTACTGAGTTTTTGCAGACTTTGTTCTTGATGAGCTTAAAAATGTTTTCCTGCTATGGCACAATCAATACTGCAGTAGTCAAGGAATTTAATTCTGCTGTTGTGCAGATTCTTAATCAGAAAAAAATAGTAATTCCTTACATTGGCTGTCTGCTAACACTGTGTTTCTCAGTCAAGATGAAAAATATCATTGTAAGCATAAAATAGTAATTAATAAGAATCTATATTTTGAAGTTCAGATTTTTCATCTTAACTGCTATAAATGAGTCTGTTTTAAGCTTAGTGTGCCCTGCTCCATGACCTCAAAAATACAGAATTCAGTTGTCATATTCTCATCTATAGTTGCAGTAACTTCATATTTTTATCATACATTCTTAAGGAAGGTTTCAAATGTTGTTGAACTATGTCTTAGTATAGTGAAAATTGTTAATTAACGATTGGATTACCTAACTACATCTTGGTGGGTTATTGTGGTATGAAATGTGGGTTTTTTCCCCCAAGTTGTTGTGTTGCAGTGCAAGATCATTTTAGGTATTAAAGTTTATTTGGTGTTTTTTGCTGTGTCAGAGAGATTGTGTACTTTTGTACTGAAGCAGAATTGATTGTCTTTTGTGGGGCTTAATTCATTTGCTTAAGATCCTGTAATCAAATACTGCTAGCTGGAGCTGCTGCCAAAAGAAACAGTGTATTCTTCTTGTCTGCTGCTCTTTCCTTCTTTCTTTGCTGCTAAAATTTCTCTGTACCTTTGTGGAGTTACACTATTTGAGTTTATTACAAAACCAAACCCACTAGAAAGTAACTAAACAAGTGAATTCCCTTTGTTGCATGGTTTGTCCTCAATAATCACTGCAACATCTCATTCCTTACGAGGTTGTTCTGCTGTTTTCACAGCTCCCGTGGTCAGGTGTTCCTGCACTTGTTCTAATCTGTCAGGGGAAAAGGGGAATACAATTTCTCTTAAGGCTAATGGAATAGATAATACTATAAGTTACTTTAAAAAGTAAACTTTTGACTTCAATTATTATAAAAGTCTGTAAAGCAGAACATTTTCGGAGAAACATTTCTGCTATAGCAAATAATGGAATGTAATACAAATGATTCTTTTTAACCATATTTAAATGTCTTCAGTATAAATGCTGTTTATATAGCTGCATTTGATTGCATATCATTTTAGAAATACTTTATTTCTATATTTTTTAAACATTTGTGTACTTTGGTTTTTTTTCCTAAATACTCTGTTCTGGCATTTCTTGCAGAAACAGTTCAAACAGAAAGTACGGAGGAAAATGAGGAACCTTTTGTTGCCCCCCCAGGGCTGAATGTACCTTCTGATGTGGAACTGGTATGTGTACATGTCATGCAGCCTACACTTCTGTCAGCTTTTGAGCAGTTGATGGTGCTCTGTTTGGTGGTTGGGTTTGGTTTCCTTTTTTTCCAATTAACTTTTATTGTGGTGCATTTTAAATTATTCTGATATAGTAAGTTAATTTCAAATGTTGTGCCTTGAACTCTTTGAATTCTATGAACACCCTTGAATCTTCTTTTCCACACTGAAATGATTGCTTATGCTAAGTGCATTTGGTATCACTTGTGATATTAGTTTAGCTACTGCAGACAAGCGGCAGTTGTTCTTGGAATGGATACTTGCTGAGATGTAAGGTTCAACATTCCAAACATATAAGGACTATTAAACCAAACATCTGCTTCTGTTCAAGAATTCTTTTCTAGAGTCTCTTTAATTGGATCCCAGTCTGAACAGGATGGGAACTGATCAAGTATTAATGCTGTATATAAAACTAGCATATTCAAGGAGAAAAACAGTAATTTATTTCTAGCAAAGACTGAAATACCTTCAGAGCATTAGTACATAGAAGCTTCTTCCTTCATGTGATGTGGCTAGAATTTGCTAAGTGTTCTGTAGACTTAATTGGACTTGTGAATTGTTCTTGAAGGGAGCTGAACAGACACCTGCTTGTGTACAGGTCTAACTGTAAGGGTTTCCAGTGTATTTCAAGTTTCATAAAAAGTGCTGGAAAATCAGGTGATTTTCTTTCTTGTATAACTGTGGTCATGAAAGTGTTAATTTAGCTGTGGGCTCAACTTGGTATTCTCACCTTGGTAACCTTGGCCAGTGAAGATTCAGAACACTCCATTAGAATAAGTAATAGTGAGTGCAGAGTATTTGTGTAACTGTTTCTATTCTTCATTAGCTTTATTTAAAGAACCTTGAGTTTTCAGAGAAAAGCTTCTTTTTTTTGCATTTTGATACTGTTTCCAAAATGTACCTGCTGGTGAAAGAGTCTTGGTTTAGATAGCTGCCTGGCTTGAGTTTTTTCTGAAATTTAGGTTATATTTCCTATGTGCGTTGCATAGCACAGCGTGGGGCTTACTGAAGGAATTTCTCAGTCAGCTGTTGGACTCCAGTGTATTCACATAAACAGAAAGCAAATATAGGTGTATTTGGTTTTGATTAAAACAAAAATAAACCCAGTAAACATGAAAATGTCTAGACAGCAGCTCTGAAAGCAGTGTATGCTTAACCTTGGATTGGGAATTGTGAGAATTTTTTTGTAATCCTTGATTTGTTGTTGCTGTTCTGTTCTAGTCATTCAGCTTTACCATGGAAGATACTTATTCTGTTTAAATTTAAGAAATTTGAGAATCAGCTTGCTAGACTGGGGGAGTGCTCCCGGTCTGCAAGGTGTAGTTCAATAAAGACAGATATTTTATATCTCCTGTAATACAGATCAGTGCAAAGTGGAAGTATTTGATGAAGACAGGTCAGCCAGCAAAAAAAACGCCATCCAGAACTATGGAATGTTCAGAGTATGGCAGCTCCAATTGCAGCACTAATGTCATTCTGGAACTTAGAATAAAAGAACTGTGAGAAGCAGGCCAAAGGTCTTCCACTGTTTAAAACTGATTATGGGCAAAGATGATTGTTCTTCACCCGGGCACTTTAAGAAGTCTGTGGATGCTCTTGAAGTGGGCTGTTAGAGGAAATTTTCACTTAATAACTTCTGAGGAGAGATAGAAACAGAAAAACTTGATACATGATGTGAAACTAATAATGCACAAAATACTATCGGTTTAAGAACCTCATTGCCTCTCATTAAAATAATCTTTGCTGGGGTTTTAGTGGGAGAAGTAAAACTTGAAACAGCTAGTTATTTTTCATATTGACCATGTCCTGGTAGAGGGTCCAATTGGCAGAAAACAGCTTTTAAAATTGGGCTGTTTGATAGTATTCAGGCTTTTTTCCCCCTATTTGGAGCACCATTGTTCAAGTGTTTCCAATCTTCTGAGAAACATTTTTTAAGATTTGCAACATAGCTGTGTATCTGTGCAGTAGGTTTTTTTTTTTTTCAATTTACTGAATACAAGACAAAACAGCTGAGTATGAAATTAAAAGCAATGAATAATGTTCATTTATTCTTTAACTGTACTCTTGTTCCCTTCACATCTTGGGGTTGATACTGCACTGCTCCCTAGGGATTTCTAGAGTGAAAAAGGATGGATGCTGCTAAACTTTATTTATTTTATCTTTTGCTTTATTGCTGAAATGTTCAATGACCCTTCAAGGGAATGGACGTGGAAATTGTAGTTTGTATGTTGGTCTTGAGAGGCAACATGTTCTTCCTAAGCAAATAAGAAGTAAGACATTTCTAGATAGGGAGCAATATTTGCGCATTCAGAGATAACAGAATTAAGGACAGCTTTTGGGAAGGAAGTGATACATGTTGAGTCTTCAGAGCACCTTGAGATATTGTAACCCCAAGGTCATCCATGAGGCATCATGTTGCCCTCTTCAGTTTGGTGTTCAATGCAGAAACAGCTGTGCTGGTAAAGGAAGAGGATGTTGCAAAAGGAATGGAATGAGCAGCTGAGGAATTTGGGGACTGTTTTGGTTATTTTTTAGAGCTGATGCACTTTCACTAGTTTTAAGTAATTATGAAACTTAAATTGCTAAAGAAAGCCAGGAAGAACAGGAAACTACTATTCATTCTGATTCCTTTGGAGTTCTAACACACTGTACAAGCTGCTTATGAAAATACAAATATGTGTTATTTTACTCCCACAGCCACCAACGGCAAAAATGCACGCGATCATTGAGCGAACTGCAAACTTTGTGTGCAAGCAGGGAGCCCAGTTCGAGATTATGCTGAAAGCCAAGCAAGCACGCAACTCCCAGTTTGACTTTCTGCGCTTTGATCACTACCTCAATCCCTACTACAAGTTCATCCAGAAGGCCATGAAAGAAGGACGCTATGCGGCTCCTTCAGAAAGTAAAGCTGACGAGAAAAAACGTGAGTTATTCCTTGGCAAATGCTGGCTTCAGGATGGGAATCATCCTGAAACAGATGCTGGTTGTTTTGTTAAAATAGCCACATTTTTCTGGAATTCCACTGCAGCTGAGATTGATATGATGATTCAAACTTTTGCTTAAATTGGAGATTTAAAAGAAAAAATACTGTTTGTGGAAACTTTCAGCTACAGGAGCTGCTATGATGTGGAAGTTTTAGAAACAGTCATATAGCTCAAGTCCAACAGAAGGTTGGTCTCTCCATTTAGGATTTAGTTTTATTGATGTTGGGCAATATCTTGGATCTGTGCTTTAGTGACTAAGTTGATTTATATGAATGATGCTTTCCTGAGAATTCATGCTTGTCTTGTATCATAATTCTCCCCAAAAGCAAAACCATAGCAAACCCAAATAAAATTCAGACATTGCTTTTATTTAGACTCGAGAGTCAAATCTGAGGAAGATGATGATGACGATGATGACGATGATGGAAATTATCTTCATCCAAGTCTTTTTGCATCTAAAAAATGCAGTAGGCTTGAAGAGCTCATGAAGGTACTTGACATTATTAAAATTACCTTTTTACACTGGGCAGTGATGGAATAATGGGAGTAACAGTTGTATGTATTTGAGGCTTTCAGAGGAATGGCTGTAGTGCTGTCTGATATTTAGACAAGGCAAGTTTTGTGCCTTATCCCAGACATGGCAGTCATTAGCTAATGGTAATAGCCACTTTTTTTTTTCTGTCATTAATTTCTGTTTACCTGAAAGTGGGTTTTGTCTTGTTTTTCACTTATTTTCAAATACATTGTTTCTGATGTGAGAGCTATAAAAACAGTAACTTCAGTGTTTGCACATAATTATTGATGTCTAACATAGATAAATTTGCTTTCCCAAATATGTTGATGCTACTGTTCTTAAAATATGTACTTCCAATTTTAATCTTTTTTCCTACTTCAAAATATTTTCAGCCTTTGAAGGTAGTAGACCCTGATCATCCCCTTGCAGCGCTAGTGCGCAAAGCACAGTCAGATAATAATTCATCTACGCCACAGTCAACAGACGGGGCAGCTGTGCAGACATCACAGGCAGAATACTCCTCTGATTGTAAGTGCTTTGTGAGGAGGCAGCTGGTGGTGTGTTTTGATGAATTGTGTGTGGATGCTGGTGGGAAGAGAATATGTTGGCTTCATGCTTCATCCTGTGTATTTGTTCTTTTGCAATCTCCTGAATCTTTGAAGGTCTGTTCTGAGTATCTGTTGAATTGCAGCTCAGGAAAACCAGAAATGGGGGGTGGGTGGGGAGGATGGGCAGGCAGGAGGCCAAGCCTCCAGTCTGTGAGTACATTTAGCACAATACCCTTATATTATTTTGTTCCTGCAGATTTTGTAAATTCGGATACTTAAAAAGATAGTCAAGCTTAAATGAGTTTATGTGCCTCTTAATTCTTTTCAGCTTTCAGAATTCTGAAAGTCCTTGATTCCTTAAATATAGAAATACAACTTCCCTTTCATTTATGGGGCTGACAATGTAACACTACTGAGATATAAGAAAATTTGTAGTGAACTTCGCTACAGTAGAGTTTCATGTTATTATACATCTGTAAGTAACAGTAGTGTGGTGCTGATTGAGTTCTTGGGTTTTTCAGGAACGTTGCTGCAGATCAGTTATCACCATAATAATCTGAGTTGATTTTTATGCATTATAGATTCAGAACCCCCAAAGAATTACAGGTGTTGTCAGTGTAATGTGTGGGGAGAAATATGCATGGAAGTAATTTGTATTTAAAACTGTGTACCATAAGGGAGTCTTAAAATTGAAGTAAGATTTCTATGAAGAAATTAAAAATGACTGGTTATTTCAAGAAAGACAAAAATAAGAATAAGTATCTTGATAGAACAGAGCTAGTCAGTTTTTTGATTACTTTCATGTCAGGTTTGAACCTGAATGTATGTGATAGAAATTGGGAGATTATAATTTAGTATACCAAAACAAGGTCAGTTTGCAACTCCTCTCCCTGCTTTTAAAACTTAAGAGAACTTTATTCTGTTCTCGTTACAGACAATTTCTTCTTTGAAGAAAGTAAATACTGCCGCATGAGAATGTTTATGAAACTTTTAAGAGAATAATTAATTGAAATCTAATGCATTGATTAAACCTTGCTTCCAGAAATGCAAACTCTTACTGTAATTAACTTTAAATATTTTACATTAATATTCTCTTTTTATACATAGTTCTTCTGCAGGAAACACATTTATATGGTGGATACTTCTTGTAAATCTATTAAGCTGATTAGAACATTATAAAATACTGTCCTTAAAGGAAGATAGAAAGACATAATATGCCTTTGCACTCTCAAGAAATATTTAGAATCAGAGAAGCCTTTACTGCGAAAAATGTGTTCAAATGCATGGTTCATTATGTTGCTGTTGATTTGCAAAAGCTGGCTACTTTTTGAGGTTTAAGTAAGTAGGTGTGTCTCTATATATAGTAATATAAGGGTTTAATATGTATATAGTGATTCTAGTGGTTTAGTTTGTAAATGCTAATTTTGAATATATCCATATTTCTTTCTTAATGAAAACATAGTTTTAATGGAGTTAAATTGCCAGACACGAATTAGATTAGGAAGTGTGATTTCATACTAGCTCCTTTTTGAATATGCTTGCTCTAGTTCACTTCTTTATTCACATCTATGATGTTCAGTACATTTGTATTCTGTCCCTTAATCTACATATTTCTTACTCACCCTAAATCTGTTAATATGAGCCTTTCCCTTTTTGCTTTGGGTTTGGTTTTGGGTTTTTTTTTGACACAAGAAATGAGATTTCGTTTCCTAGTGTGTTGCGTGAATCCAGATTCTCGGTGTGTTTGTATTGATGTAATAATGCATCTTCGTCTAATTAGAAGTTTGTTCTTAAATGTGTCTTTGTAGCAACTGTGGCAGCCATGTATTACAGCTACTACATGCTCCCTGATGGGACCTATTGCCTGGCGCCTCCACCTCCGGGGATCGATGTTGCTGCCTACTACAACGCCCTGCCCCCAGGGGTGACTGTGTCCAGCGCTACTGGAGTGGCAACTGTTCCTCCCCCTCCTGGTACCACACCCCCGCCTCCCCCCGACACAACTGACAGCACCAGTGGGTTGGCTTCTGCCACAACGTCTACAAGGTACCTCGGACCGATTTGCTTGTTGTTTGGGGGAGTCTTGTTCCTGCACTTCAGTACGGAGTGTTTAATAAGTGTTCTGTTATTGAATCAAGCTATATTAACTGTGTGATGAACACAGAGAACAAACCTCTCTGTATTTTTTGTTTGTTTTTGGGAGTTTTCTTGTTGGTGGTTTTTTGTTTTGGTTTTTTGTTTGTGTTGTGGTTGTTTGGTTTTGGGTGGGCTTTTGGGTTTGTTTGTTTTCCTTTTTTTTGTTAAACCAAGAGTCTGAAAGATTTTTGTGTTCTGTTTTAAAAAACCATTTACTCTTGACATTTTCAGCACAATTGCTCCAGTGGTTGCCATTATACCTCCACCACCAGATATCCAACCTGTCATTGACAAGCTAGCTGAGTATGTTGCTAGGAATGGGGTAAAATTTGAAACTAGTGTTCGTGCCAAGAATGATCTCAGGTAAGAGAAAATGTTATTTAAACTGCTACTTCAAAAGTTAAAGTTTTAATTTTTTAAGATATTAAATTACAGCACATGCAGTTTTGAAAAGAAAAGTACTATTGTTTGTTTGCTTGTTTTTTAAATTGAGATTTAGGGACCTACTTAATGGCAATGGGAAAGCATTATGGCTCAGATTATCAAAACAACCAACCTGTCAAAAATCTCTCTAGTAAGCATGCTCTAAATTTGTATCCTCTGAAGTTTAGGCTTAAGTAAGAGTGCTTCCAAACATCAAATAACATTCCATTTGCTAGAGATGATAAGGGATTGTTAGTATTAGCTATGTTCATGTGCATCTTCACATGCTCAATTTTCTTTCAAAAGGTTTGAATTCCTGCAACCATGGCACCAGTATAATGCATATTATGAATTTAAAAAACAGTTCTTCCTTCAAAAAGAGAGCGGTGACAACTGCCAGGTACGTGTATTTTTATATATACTTCTATTAAAAATGCAGTAAGTGTGAGAAAAGGACTTGCCAGTTGTCTTACCATGAGACATTTAAAAAATGGAACTCTGAATTAGGGAGAAATTGATCAGCAAAGGATGTGAATGAATTTTTTGTTTTTTAGTTTTGTACAGCATTAAAGTAAGGATCTGTGAGATGGTATGATATTTAATTCTTGCTTTTTACTATCTGCCACTCCACTGTGGCTGTAATGTAACATAACAACCTGAAAATCTTCTGGCTTTATATATGGGCAAAATATGCTTTGTGTGGGTTTTGAGCTTTGTAGGATTGTGATTAGTGTTCTGCTGTCAGAAAGGTTACGTCTGGCTTTTTAACCCCCATACCTTCCCATATGCCTCGTCCTTCTTTGTACAGCAGTAGCACAGAGGCTGGAGGAGCTTCCTGATGTCCTTTTTCTGAGGGAGGTTTTGTTAGAGTCCAGTCATGACTGCAACAGTACTGGAGCTTCAGAATCTCACAGCAGTTTCCTACTTGCTTTGCTTCTTCTAGTCTGTGTTATTAGAAGGTGGTAGCCAGACTTGGCATCCATGTTTTTAACTATTCTCATGTTAGCTAATTAGATTGTTCTCTTACTGAAAAGAAAATTGCAAATAATATCAGAACTACATTATCTGATGTTAACTTTTCATGGGAAAGAGCTATTTTTTTTTTAGGCCCTATGTCATTTGTCATCTCAAGGCTTAGATTGGGGAGCCTTAAACTGAAGAAGGTAGGCCTGTGGGTAAACTCCTCGGAATTGCTTTGTGGAAAATGAAGAAATTCAATACTGGTTGCTGTTTGGAACACTTGTGTCTGATGTTTTGTTTTAATAGTGAAAAAATGTTTTGGAAACACTATTTATAAAGATAAGCTGTGGTAAATATGATCTTATTCAGCTGATAAATTACAACCAAAATTGTCCTGTGCTACAATGCTGACTGTTGTTCTAGAAAGTGTAATTTGCAAACCAGTGGGTTGAATTCATAATACTTACATAATTAATAAGGACTTGTTAACGTGTAGCTGGGGGGAAATTGTACACTAACCAAAGCGTAATAGTAAAGGGATTCATTTTAAATGTTCAAATGAGTACAGCTAAGAAGGAACTGAAGCCAGTTTAAGTCCCTTGAGGTCAAGCGTAGCAATGCATATTTTTGTACTGCATGGCTTTCTAGATAATGCAGTTCTCTTAAGTTTCTTAAAATAATGATTTTAATATTATCTTGATGCTGTAGTAATATATATATATAGGCAACTAATGCAACTGATGCTTTTCCTTTTGGCCATTAAAATTAATAAGAAACCATACTATTGACTTCAGTAAATACAGATTTGATGTCATTGTGCTTTTCCCCTTTGAGGACTTCCAGAAATCAATTCTGCTGGTCAGGGAATGGCTGCAGGGAAGATCTGCTAAATGCCTCGATTTCAATGTCATGTATGCTTAACAGCCAGAACAACCAAACTCTTGGTTCGCTATGTTAAATTACTTAACATTAATACATGACTCACCATGTAAATACTTTCAATGTTCTATAATATCCTTCTTGAATTTTTTTTGCTGTGAGTTCAGAAATCACGCTGAATGAGTCAGTCGTGTAATGGTAGAACCAGTAATTCTTACTTCCTTGAAAGTCTCAGCACATCTATTGCAACAAATACTTTGCTAGGGCCAGTGTTCTTCAGCAGAATGTTGGAACAAATCAAACATTATTCCTGTGAAATCTGATTATGTGAAAAATTTACATGCAGTTGTACATGAGGAAAAAATGTCATAAGCTTTCACTCTCTCCCTTGGAGTGAACTTTATGGATTTGTTTTGGGACCCTGGAAATCAAGACCTAAATAAATAGACAAAAGAAGTACATGCTTTTAGGGTCTAATTTTAAAATATAATTTTAAAGCAGTTTTTGGCAAAGTGTATGAGCTGATGAAATTTTTTTTGGCTGTAAAATAACACGTTTTTACTGTAGGTCTGTAGGTTTTACACCTTATGGGCTTACATGAGGCAGAATTATGGTCATGAGTGCTGAGTGATGTAAAATCAGCTGTTGTGTGATTTGCTGATAATGTGATTTTTCAAATGGCTGACAAAACTGCAGCTCCACAGACGTTGTATTAATGATTTCATAAGTATGCTGTTAGTAATTCTGCTCATTTCTTTTGAAAAGGGAGTGTCTTCTTCTGAAGATGTTCCAGCAGACACTGCCAATGATACACCAAGTGAGACTCAATTTGCAGATGAACATGCACCTGAAGATGCATCTGAGCCGAGTGCTAAGGGAGTTCCAGGAACTAAAAAGGATATTCCTCCTAAAGCTGTCAGTGATGGTAAACTGGTGAAAGGTATGGTAACATAATTTATTTGGCATGAAAATATTTCATAACTTATATATAAAGAAAGAAAAGAAGGCAGGGGAAAGTAGGGAAAAGAATTTAATCGTGTGAAAAATAAGTTTTTACTGAAGGCATCAAAAAATGTCTGCAATAAGTAATTTGATTATTTTTATATTTCTTTCTTATCGGACTATCAGGTATTTATGGTCTGACACAATAAATTGTTTTACTTCAGTTTTGTGCAAAGTTGAAGACTTTTATCAGAGATGCTAGTAAAATCTTTGTCATTTTCAACTTGACAGTTACAAGTTTTGTGCAAGAATGAAATCATTCTGAAGAAAAGCAGCGGCCTTATTGAAAGGATACACGTGGAGGAAGTAGTCTAGGCTTGTTGCTCTTTCTTTTCATGTTGGACATTAGTTATGCTGGAAGAAAAGGCCCCTTTCATTTCTAAATGAAATGTTTTTACTCTTGCAGTTACGGCAGCAGAGGGGCAGAATGGGAAGATCTCTCTGCAAGCCATTCAGAGCTAGCTAGCACACTGTTAGTGTCATGAATTGGAGAAATTATTGTTTATATCTGGGAGATGATTTATTGTCCTGTCAGGAGAAGATATGTTAAAAATTCTTATTTTCAGTAAAACCTAAAGATGTGCACATTTTAACTAGAACTGAAAGCTACTGAAAAAAAACAAACAAAACAAAACCAGAAAAAGCACTCTTTAACTGGGCTTCAATGGATGGAAACTTCCTTCCTGCCACCTGAGTGGCTTACCTAATTACTGATAATTTTATCTACTCCCTGTGGTTCCTTGGAATTCTCTCTTCCCATTTCTCAGTGCGATCCCATTTCCTTCACAACCAGCAAACACTGGGCTCTTTGCTGTGGCTGTCTGACTGTCCAGACTCTGCAGGTTCTTTGAACAGCACGAGTAGTTTCCCTGGTGCAGGAACAATCTTCCCTGCTTTCAAAGATGACTTATTAAGAGCTGCAATGTACACCAAGAAATATGTATTGTTTCAGTTGTCCTGCTATTAGTAAGTGGCAAACTGGAGCCTGTACTTTAATGGTAGTAATCTGTTCAAATTTACATAATGGAATATAACCAACGAGTCATTTCATGGTAACCTGATTCCTATAAACTTATTGTTATTTCCTTTAATATGGTACAAATCCCAATTTATTATAACCTAAATGCAATACTTGCCTCCAAGACAGACATAACATCCATACTAGACTTTTCTTCTGCCTCTGAAGAAGTAAAATCCCATTTTAGGATTTGTTCTATCCCATGAAAAAATTGGAAATCACGGTTACCTCTTCTCTTGGAATTCTGGAGTTCTTTGTTTCTGAGCATATTTCCTTACCCCAGGATTACCAAAATCAAAGCTTATCTTTTATGAACCATGGTATGTAATTTAATTACTGTATTTCAATTTCCCTAATTGCAGTCTCATAGGACATATATGCAAAAGGCATCTTGAGAAACATAAGTATTGCAGCAGACTGTATGGTACTGTGGTGTAGTGAGAAATTCTATTCTTCCGTTCTTTTTTCTTAAAAGTGTCATTTTGGATAAATGGGTTAGATATTAATGCTGAGGTTTTGGATTTTTTTTTTTTTTTTGAGATTTTTTTCTTTACACAGCAAATGAAGTTTCCAATGTTTGTTTAAGAACACGGAGTAAAAAAATAATTATGTTGTCCTTTTCACCAAAATAATTAGCATAATAGGATGATGACTTTTTTTGTGGTGTAGTTTGCCGGAGTAATAGGTAAAGTCAGGAAATTGAACATGCCTTCTACTGTAGTCTAATGATGTGTGAAATCTTACCCATTCATTCACAGCATCCTTTGCTCCAATAAGCTTTGCAATCAAGGCCAAAGAAAACGACCTTCTTCCTTTGGAGAAAAACCGTGTTAAATTAGATGATGACAGTGATGAGGAGGAAGAGGAGGGAAAGGAAGGCCAAGAGAATGCTAACAGTGCATCAAACCATACTCCAGCAATTACTGCTCCTTGTACTGCTCCTGAAGAGAAAAAGCCTCAGCTTACACAGGAGGAGTTGGAAGCTAAACAAGGTATTCCCTGCAGCACTGAAAACAAAATGTATTGAGTCCTTCACACAAACTGTGAAATTGCCATGTGTGACATTTTGGGTGTTTTGAATATTTTCTATGTCATGTTAATAAGAATCAGAATTTTGTTCCCACAATTTCCTCCTTATTTTTAACAATGAAGTCTTCATTCGTTGCTCAGACAAAATCAAACTTAGAGGACACAGGGGTGGTTGAATGCTTTCTCCTAATGCCTGATCTTTCAGAATTTTATTTTGGTTTTTCATTACGGCCTTCTGGTAAAGCACTGACTGTGTAGTTTCCAGATTGCATTAACAAAGCCCAGCAAAGACATACCTGTTTGTCATTTTCTTCAGTGAACAGTGAATTGCTGCAAGCTGTTTTTCATTTATATAGCACTCCCATATAGACTCATATCGCCTTGTTGATGTTTTGTTGCTCTTATAATGCAATGCCATTAAATCTTTGTATGGGTTTTTCCTGTTACTGTGTGAATGTGCATTAGGGCAGAAGGGCATGCTGTGTGAATTTGAATGAAATGATGTTTTAAAAGAATCCAGTTTCACCCATTCCTCCCCAAGGCTGTTTCACAGCAAAGTGTGGTTATTAAAGTGGATGTTCTGTCAGTATTTACCAGCTTAAAAACTCAGTATTTCTCACAACTATGAGTATGCCACAGGTATTTAGTTTCTCATTTTCAAAATGGCATTTTTTTGCTTCTAGTAGTAGCAGTTGCTTTGTAAACTGTAGTAGCACAAAGTATGCTGTGGCGTTACATATCTAAAGCAAATATGAAGTATTTTGTATAATAATAAAAATGAAGTGTAAAACACACTTAGATCTGTGTGTTGAAAAACCTGTGAACAAAACAATCCGGTTGCCTTGTACATATACAAAACACAAAAATGAAAGCATAAGATGAAAAATATTACACAAAGTAGCTGTTAGATGCATAGTTAAATCAATTAGCTTATTCTCTTCATGTAATCACATACAATGTGTAATCACACACAACAAAATCTGCTGGTTGTTACAATGATGAAACAGTTTCTGAAAATTTGTGGAGCAGCTCTTTCTATAAACCTATTAACATATATTTAAATAGGGCTGGAAACTGTGAAGATTACATCAATGGAAAGAGCAAACTGGAGAGTTAGCATCACTTTAAGACTTAAAAGAAGAAGCTTCTGAATTTGCAGAGCTACTTTCTTTAGGTAGCTTTTATAAATAGAAAAGGACAAGTATCCTGAATAATCAGGATTGGATTTTCTTGTAATTTTAAATTAGAAGTTTTTGCTTCACCTACACTTCTTTACATCTGCTTTACATTAAGCAGATGATGTATCTATTAATTAAGATGCCTGGAGTTTCTTAATTTCAAGCTGATGTTCTTATGTCATTGAATAGCTATATTGGAAAGGCTTGAGAACGGCTGGAGGGGGGCTGTTTGCTCATTTGTGATGGGGACAGGTGTTTGTTTTAAGGAAGCCTGAGTTCCCCAAGCATGACTCACGCTAAACTTAATGGTTAATTGTATTTTTTAGCAAAGCAGAAACTAGAGGATAGATTAGCAGCTGCAGCAAGGGAGAAACTTGCACAGGCCTCCAAAGAATCAAAGGAGAAGCAGCTACAAGCAGAACGCAAAAGGAAAGCTGCCTTGTTCTTGCAGACCCTCAAAAACCCTCTGGCAGAGGCAGAAGCTGAGAAGATTGAGGAGAATTCCTTCAGTAGTGAGGTAAGCAAGAAATAAATTTCTCTTTCCCGTAAAGCTAGTAGAAAACTGACCTCTGGAATGTGACTCTGACAGTGTGTTATAAACTTGACTGATGAAATAAAAGCTTTTCTAAATGGGGAGAAATTTGAATTTTAAACACTGTTAAGCTTTTCCCATTATCTTACATATGTCTCTCATCTGTCATTAAAGAATTGGTAGAGAAGTAGGCTGCACAATTCCTAGGTCGGTTAGACAGGAAAGGAAAAGGAGCTTCCATGTTTTAACTATGTACTAGTGATCCAAATGTTGGAATACTCACCTTGCAAGAGTATTGGGATGCCTTACTTAAGCTGTGATACTTTCTTACTTGATGTGTATATTGATGGTTTTGTTGTACATTACAAATACAAATATTATTGAAGTAGAATCTTGGGTTCCTGGATTTGGAATTACATTGTTTTCAGAAAAGCCAGTAAAATCACTCTTGTTTGCACTAGTCAAGCAAAATGTAATCTCTGGATAGTGATAGAAAATTTAAGATATTGATTGTGACAGACTGGCTACAAGAAAGAATGACATGGCTTCCATTGTTTACTTTCCCTCAGAAAGAATTCCACTACCTAGCAAGTAATTCATTGCCCAGTTCTTTATTTTTTCCAAATAAATAATGGATTACTCCTCAAAACACTTTGAAGAGAACAGCTGAAAGAGACATACCTGCAGTTTAGGTGATCCATACCAGGAGAGAGTAGCAGATATGTGAATTAAGTGTGGTCACATCCCAAAAGAGATCCTGTTTGGGTTTTTCATTGCTGCTGCTAACAGATTTTCCCTGAAACAAGTGTTCAGTACTTCTCTTTTCAGTTATATATTGAAGAGTGAATGAATAGAGACAATGACAATGCCAAACACCCCATATTTGCAATTCTACTCTTTTCCCAAGGGAATTTGTCAAGGACACGGATATTTCTAAGCTAAGGTTCCTTTGATATTTTTCTTTAAGAGAACGCCTGAAATAACCAGTGACAGCTGACTTTTTCAGAAGAGCAGATGAATGTTCTTGCTCACATCTGAACATACTGAAGTTCTAAGCTGAACTTGCTAGTGAGCTTCTCAAGAAAAAACTACACCCTATCCCACTTCTCAGAAAACTGATTTTCTAGAAATGTTTTTTTCTTCCACGGAAGTACAGTCTCAGAGAAGGCATCTATTTTTTCTTACACAAAAAATTCCAGTGTATTTGAGAATTTTAAAGTAACCAGTTTCACTGTTTCTTACCAGTAGAAACGGTTTGGAGGTGCTTTCATTATTAAAGGGTTTATTTAGAATTTTGGATGTGTATTTAAATGTTTTCTGATGGGACCTTGCTTTTTAAAAATAAAATTGGCTATTGTATTGGGAGTGCTTGTACTGTTTTAATGAACAGTCAAAAATGCCATAATGTCTTTGGAAGTTATATTCCTGCTAAATGTGGTTTGCTTAGTGACACACTTATATAGATACATGTATATAGACTTCTGTAGATAAAAGCTTATTTTGAAACATAAATGTTTTTCAGGCTTGTTTTTCCATTTGCCATATTCAAAAAAGCATCCATTTCCATTCATTCCAAATAATCTGCCTTTTACTCCCCTTGCCTGTTTTACCTATTTGTAACAGCCCATTTGAGCCAAGAAATTGTATTGAAGAAAGAGGAGTGAAATAATATTGCAGATTTGTTTAACCTCTGTTCTATTTACCCTGAGAACCCAGTATGCTGCATTATGATGTCTAAATCAGCTTGTAAATAAATAAGTAGCATTGGTTTGGTTTCTTAAGCTTTTTCAGTAGCGTTTCAGACTTTCAGCCATGTTTCAGACTAAAGATGCATTTAAAGACACTGATTGCAAATGCAACAGGAGATAACTACAGTGGCTGTAATATAAAGAAAGTATGTTAAAAAAATGAGTGAGAAAGATATGTAAAATTTTGTGGTTTGGTCAATGGAACTAATTGGCATAAATCAGAAAACAAAGAAAAAAAAATAATACTTGTGTCCACCTGAAACATTACTAAATGTATTTCATTTCCTGTTTTGGGGGTAGGAACATACAATGAGGAGTCCAGGAATCAAAGACCTGATATACACTGGTTATAGTTAATTTAGTGACATGACTTTTGTAGCTTAAAATTTGTCTCAAAAATGGAGTAATGACTGAGTTGTGTAATAAAGCTTGAAGAGGAGTTGAGAATATCTATGGGAGATGCATAATCTTCATTACATTGCCCCAGCCTAATAAGTATATAAAAAAACAGTAATGCTATTTATGTGTACATACAGCATACATTTCTGCTGAAAATCTGTTTATCACAATGTGCAGAAATACATTAAATGCACAAAGCTTTTGTGACCTCTGTCAGATTTTCCTGATACCTTGTATTTGTTGAAAGGATCACTAGTACGAAGTGTACATTACATCTTAGAATGAAATCGATTCTGCTAACTGCAGGTAAAGGACAGTCAGTACCACAGAACAGAGCGCTTCTAAGCTGTTTTGGCTTCAGCTGAATCTTAAAAATAGTTCTGTGTTTTCCATAGCTGAATTATTTCTTTTATATGGCTTCCTGTTTTTCTTTAAAGTGAAATCAAGCAAGAGAAACAAAAGGCTGAAAAAGCTTGAGCAGTGAAGCAGCACAGCTTTTCACAAATGGCTCCTTACCATCCTTGCATGCATTACAACAGTACAGTTTTGCATAATACTTCCTCAAACCTGTACTTGGAAAGCATGGAGCTTATCTCCGTTTGCAAAACTGATGAGCTTCCAGTGATGCTGTGGCCAGTGAAGTCTGTGCCCTTGTTCAGGACATGGACAAACAGTAACAGGATGATGTTTTCCCTTCTTGTGCTTACATGTATAATTAATGTAGACTCTTGGTCTTGGTGCATGTAGACTCTTTGGCACATCTGTCAGCATCACTGAGAAGTTGCCTTCATTCTGCAATGAATATATGTTCCTTGTCCTGGAGCAGCAAACAACTGCAGTTCTTCCATGCTGAGCTGAAATACATCAGGTTATATGGAGTGCTTCACTGAACTGCCTTTTTTACTTTAGAACAATAAAGTAAGGTGTTTTATGATCTGAAATGCAAATCTCATTCCAAAATTATTTGACTTAATTCAAATTTTAAGAAATAAGATTATATATCCTCAGTAGTGGGACGTGGCATGTTTTCTTCTGCATGTTCAAATGTCATATTTTACTCTGTGTCAGAAATGTTTTAGTGGTGATGGTGCTTTGATGACCATGTAAAAGCCAGTTGGTTATACCCAAACTGTTACCTGTATAAACCTTAGTATCTGATTTAGACAGAAGAGAAATCCACAATCATTATGCTGCAAAATCAGACAAACACATGATTTGAAAGTGATGCTGTTTTAATAGCTTGTCCCAAATGTCATCTGCTGTTACACTTCTGAATATATAGATTCTGTGGCACAAAGCAAGACTTTCCTTCCATTGAACTGAAAGAATTGTTGATTAACTCTTTACAGTTCTGACATTCTTCACTCTTTGCAGTTGTGATCTAATATAGGATTCCAATTTCTGTAAAAGACATATAAGCTGTTTGTAATATTATTGATAATGTCCTTTGCTAGTTGATTTTGTTTGGCCAGACACAGTGCTAAGGTTTTGTTTTGTTGCAATAAGCACATTCTGGTTAATTTCTAATTTTGACTTTATGTATTGATTAAGTCGTGTAACCCCAGAATAACTAACATGTGTTCTGGGCTTATGAATACTGCAAATATGCAAATGCACTGAGGTACTCATTTCTGTTCTCATATGGCTATAAATTCTCCCTATTTACAGAGCTCTTTCCTAATCCATTCCTGCTAAACAAGAGTTGTCAAATCATTTTTTGGCATTTCTTTTGTCAGATTTGCTTCAGTCATGCAAATAAAATGCTGAAGAATAACTCTGCCAGAGAATTTGTGTGACAGTGCAGCATTTAGTAAAGGCCAAAATAATAGACAAAGAAGTGATATTCAGTGAATGCTATCTGAATGTTTACAGTTTAACTTCTTAGAAGAGCTCTTAGACAATGTAAATCTCTCAGTCCTTGAGATATATAATACATTTCATCAGGTAACACGTTTGTTTCCATGCTTTCCAAAACTGTTCTGCTGGCCTGCATATTGGCAGAGCCTGATCAGTTAAAGCAGAATGCTTTGTAATCTCCCAGTTCTGTGTTTACTGTGATTTTTTTTTTTTTATTTTATTGTTTTTATTCTTTTCTGCACTCATGCCTCCAGTTTCAGTTCCCATGACCTTATTTTCCAAGACAGTTTATTTGTTTCCAAGTATTTATACAGCTAGAAATTTTATTTGTGGCCTAGCAATTTGCTGACTGCTTTCACTGAGCTCTGTCTTCTGCTGTGGTGAATCAAGTCATTTTGCTGGTGCTGTGTTTCTTAAAGGCAGCTGGAGTTGCCACTGAGGGAAGTGGCCTCAGGTGATTTGTTTCAGGTGATTGTCATAAGGACATGACATCTGTCACCAGAGCATTTGGGCACAGTGGCAGATTGGTGACTTCTCCCTGTGTGTTACCTGTTGTATTTCATTGAAGAGCCTGCATATTTCATCTGGGGGTAGCTAAAGTTAACTTCCTGTGGCTCTCCAGATGTGATTCGTCAGTAGCCTGAAGCAGTGCTGTTCCAGTCCACCAGGCAGCCAGCCTGCATCTGAGCTTCCCAGAGAGCTGGACAACACTGTCACTCCTTAGTGTCAGCTTCCTGCAAGTCAAGGAGAGCTCAGTGGCAGCAGTAGATGCTTTTAGTGGAAATATAGTTGGCCTTAGCATTGTGTGGTTCTTTGTTCAGGTGGCTGAGAAAATCTCTGCGTGTGAAGTAAAAGTAAATGTGTCATTCATTTATTAACTTCCTTCTTGGCAGTGATAGGAGAGCTTGTGTTTTATGTGGCCAAATGAACCTGAGCAGTGAAAACCATTGGGTTTTTCTCCTCTCTCATTTTCCTCTTAACACTACTTTGCCTACAGCTTTTTCGTTTGAAGCTACTAGAGATGTTTACTTCAAGGCAGACTGGGCTATTCCATATTCAGTAGTGTTCAAAGCAAAAGCTCAGGTACCATATCAAGAGGTGAATAATGTTGTCAAAGGAATAAAAGTCAACTCTGGTAGCCTTTTATGAAACTGGAGATGAGGTGTCTGCAGTTACATATGGAGTTCCTGAAATTTGAAATAGGCCTCTGGTAGACCACTCAAATGATCATGCTGTAAAATGTTGATAATCTTTAAAACAAGCTACTTTAGTACTGCTTTGTTGCTGGTTTTGTATATATTGTGATAGCAATTATCAGTAAAACATGAAAAAATGTCATGTCTCTAACTTGAAGCAGAGCTGCCTTTTTTATTATTCAAATGTGATTGTTCAGTTACTGTCTGTATGTATTAATGGTTGGAGAAGGGTAAAAAGAAAGAAAAAGATCACTTGTTTCTAATTTGGTTATTTCAGGTTTTAATGTATTACTTTTTATTCCAGTCATGGTAAGCATCCTTGTATCAAACAGTGAAACTCAGATGAGGTGGAGCAGAAATTATGACAGGGAAACTGATTTCTCCAGTTGCCTTGAAATGACAGCTAGGGGAATGACAGGTTTTGAAATGAGGAGCATATCTATGGTGCCTGACTTGAATTGTTCTAAAGAAGGCATTGAGCTGAATTCTCTGAGGTTCAAGCTGATAATTTGAAAATGTTGTGGTATGATTTGCTTAATCTCCTTCAGCTGGAATTACTCACTGAACATTAACTGTGCATGGACCTGTTCTTTCTTTGAGATTAATAAATTTTGTGATCTTCCCAATCCTTTACATTTCAAATATATTTTTTGAAAAGTTCAGACATAATTTCTATCAGCACTGGTTCATTTTGCTGTTGAAGTTGGTCATCAAAACAGCACAGTTCAGGGAGGAAAGAGACACTAAGACTTAGCTTTGAATGTCAGTAGTTCCTGATTGTATTTCCAGGTTTATCCTGTTTAAAGTAAAACATGTAAATAGACTAAAAGATACCTGAATAGTACCCATTCTTTTAGAACACATTTCTTCTAAAAACTAAAGATGAAAACTTCAGAACTATGTCCTGGTTAAGCTGACAGTCTTAGTATGCATATACCAACTTGCTTGTGTCTCTCTGGGGAGCTGTACAGGCCTCCATTAAATTTTGCTGGATGCATGTGTTTGAAGATGTCAGCCGTACTTCTGCACACTTTACATAATCCCAATGCAGCACTAACTAACTTCGACTAACTTTGGAAACTGATCACTGTTCTTTGTTTATCTTTGATTTCAGAGCATCAGTAGTATACCATGTCCTGTGACTGCAGTCAGAACTTTACCCACCTTAGAAGTTAAACAAGCAGAAAAGCCTTCAAGCAGAAGCAGAGATCTTCCTAGAGATGAAGAAAAGGAAAAGAAAAGGAAAAAACACAAGAAAAGATCTCAGTCAAGATCTCGATCACCATTCAAGTATCATTCATCATCTAAGTCCAGGTCTAGATCACATTCAAAAGCAAAACATTCACTTCCCACTGCCTATAGGACTGTCAGGCATTCAAGGTGGGTTTGGAAACCAAACACATTCTTTGGCATTCTGTGTGGGTTAACACGTAAAACATCTGCGCGCTTCTTCCATTACATAGGTGATTTTATACCCATTGCAAAGGTCACAGTCACCTTGAAGGCAGTATGTGGCACATACAGATCAAATGTGGCAAGTCTTTTGAAAAAATCCTTTTAGTAAAATAATGAATCATTAATTTCTAATTACTTAGTGCAAAACTTTTACCAGTAAATGCTTTTTCCTGATCTTCTTTGAAGTACCTAGTAATAGTACATAGGAATGTGATGACAGCAGGAAGAGAGCTTGCTAGTAAATCTGTGGCTCTTACTGGAGCAAAGTAACTTAGACAATATAAGAAATAGAGGTAGAGTACTAGGTGATTGAGCAGCAAAGCTCAGAAGAAAACAAAGCAGAGCAACAAGTGAAAAAATATGATGAAGAGATATGGTAGGAATCCAAGAAGAGTGAAAACAGAGGGGAAAGAGAGAGATACTACAGAAGAATGTAGCCCAGTACTGTTAACTCTGTACTTAATCATTAATGAGATTAAATACACTATGCTAATTATCCAGCTATAAGATGATGTATATTGTGTTTTACTGATACTGTTAATTCCTTCAAAGATATTTGGGTTAGGCACCTTCAAAGTTTACTGTCTGTAAAATTTGTCATATCATGTTCTACCGCTGTGGTCAGTAGGAAGGACTTTGAGGGTACATTCTGTGGATCAGCATACAGAACAGTGTAGCTACTTATGAAGCTTGTAGTTCAAGCAAACTGCGTATAGATACTGCCACAGCTGTGTAAGTACGTGATGCATGTGAATCCGTACAGTACTTCCTCTTTGTGTCTCTTGTCTGCCTGAAAAGAGCTGCTAGCCCCAGATGACAGTGTGCCAAAACTTCTTTTAGTTTTCTTGTGCTTTTTTTGTTTAATGAAGTGTCTTAACTACACTAGCAGGAGTGTTAACATGTTACAACTTACCAGTTTATACTTGATTTTTAAGAACAATACTTTGCTGCAGAAATCTCTGCTACTCAGAGATGCCAGGAATTAAGTGAGCACAACTTGGACTGAAATGATCAGTCTGACACGCTGCTTATTTGATGACCTTTGACAGTAAGTTGTCATGACATGCTGTGTCTTAACCAAAAGTCATCAAGAATAGGTAATCTACAGGAGCTAATCTGTGTTTGCTGTCTTGAGTTTGCCTCCTGGCGCAAATCAAATGACAAGCACACAACAGCATGAAAATCATGAATCACCACAACACCTGATTAAATCTAGCTAGATATTTCCTTGATGAGCTGTTGAATTCTGAAATCTCAGAACTCCAATAAACTTGATGTTGGCTGGCTGAATTTTAAAATTATGTAGAAAAACAGCACCAGATTTTGCACTGAAAACATTTTGAATATTTTAACTTCATAAAAGTTAAAGGTGAACAGGAAAGGCCTTGTAGAAGAAAGGGTGGTGATTGAAGGTGTGCTTTATTTTCTTTTGCATCTTCAGAAGTAATAAAGTTGAAAAATTCTGTTCCAATAACAAGAAGTTAATTCAGAGCATGTTTTGCATATTCATTTTTCTGGTTAAATGCCATACCTATGTTACAGAAACAAGTTTAAAAAAATTGTAGCTACATAGAGAACCCAGATAGTACTGGCTTAATTGTGGCATGTGGTGTGCTAACAGCAATTCTCTGTATAAATGCTTGTTATTTTCTGGAACAAAATTAGTCCTATAAAGCTCGGTATCATACAGTTTTAATGCTAGACCTACATGACAGATTAAACAAGCCATGTACACAGTAAACAGTGTCCCAGAGTTCTGTAAGGTACTGCAGAACAAACCTGTCATTCCCAGAGAGGTAATTAGTTATTACAAGTACTTGATATAAAAAATAGAGCACATTTATTAAATCTGTCTTGAAAAACAAAGGTTTTGGTATCTTAGTAGTAAATGTAGTAAATACTGAAGCACTGTTTTTATTTCTCAGGGGCTTCAAAGCATGGTTAAAGAATTGGGTCTGAGCTGTTTCTGGCAGTGATGCTGGGTGTCAGAGCTGGGGTGGGCAGTGGGCTCTTCCAGCTCATGTGTGTAACTGTAAAGAAGAGTGATGTTCACCTCAATCTCTATTTCCTACCCGTAGATAAATCTACTGGTTTGTGAGTGTGAGAGGAGATTAAGGGAAGCAGAAGCACTTGTTATATACCGAATGATTTAGTGATTTGATTCGGGGAAATTTGGATGTTCATTTTGAACTAGAGATGGAAAGTCTAAGCTTCTTTTCAGTATTGCTGCTTTACTTTATACTGTTTAGTAATAGAGTAGTACTAAAGCACATAATATATCCAGTTAATGAATATTAGCAGTAATTAGCTGTATATTTTATTAACAGGTTACTTTGCGGTAAGTTTGGATAGGGTGCACCTGTGTGGGAGTTTGTGTGAGACTTTTTGCCTCAGTTTCAGGAATTCATTAGACTTGGAAGTAGCTGTTCTTTGTTAAAAAAGATTGTTTGGTGTTAGGGTTTTTTCCTCCTACAAAAGTGATTTTCTTATTGCTGAGGCAGTGTCTAGTTACATAATTTTAATTCCAGTTTTGTAATGAGACATGCCAAGCTTCATAACCCTTTGAACTTTTGGGACCCTTCTAAGCATAAGTCATAAAGGAATAAAATACCTTCTGGAATTACAGTCTAATGAAAGTTACAATTTACATATTGCAGTAAAACTGAGTGGCTGTTTTCTAATTGTTTGAAGCAAATGGCCAAAGTTCTTAATATTTGATGATTGGAAGAATGCTGTAGAACCACAAATGCCAGTTCATAAAAATAAAGCTAATGTCTTTTTCTTTCTGATTGTTTGGACTTTTTTTAGGCTGGTCCATACAGGCGTGTTTCACTAAGGTTCAGCTTTTGGTTAAGGGACTAAGCCTTTTCAGGATTCTAGTTAATACCAAAACTAGGACATTTTAGTCTGGATGTGAAGTGTGTGCCTCCATATCACAGACTCACAGCATCCACAGCGACACTGAGCATGGAGCCGAGTCTGAGCAGCTCATCAGTGGCAGCAGCAGCAGAGTGGAAAAATTATCAGGCAACTTGGGCAATGAAAAGATTTGACTGCTGGAGCTCTTTTGAGGGAAATCCTGGTAAAATGTCAAGGTGTCTGACTGAACCCAAGTTTTATAATCTGTTGTTTTTTTCCTTTTTTTTTTTTAATCCTTCTCAATGGCTTGGTAAAGATCAGATTTTATAAGTGTCAAAGCAGTTAATTTGCAACAGTTATCTGCCATTGTGATAATTTCTTTTCAGTTGGGCTTTTTTGTTGTAGGTGTAACAGAAATGGCTCAGGACTTTGTAGGTGTGTATATATTATCTGTATTGTGTGAACCTGAAGATCTCTGATCTTAACTGGGCACGCTTTCTATTTTCTCTTCTTGATCTCCTCCTCACTTTTCTAGGAAGAATATTTCAATCAAAGTGCTAGTGCCAGAGAACATTGATAATGTGTTATTGGTCACTTGCACTGGTGAAAATATTGTCTGTGCTAGGATTGTTCTGCAACATCCAGGACATTTCCGGGACTTGTCGGTGTTAGACAAGCCACTGCATCAAGAATGTGCATTTATCTCTATGAGACATCAGTTCTAAAAGCACACCACTAATTTGAGAAGACAAGGTCAGGCCTGCCAATCCCAGGCTTCGCGCAAATTGGATTTCTGCATACCAATTTTAGCAAACTGTTGCCACAAAAGGTGGCTGGACTAAAAGAAAGTTTTTCCATCAAATAATACAGAAGTGGTCATAGCAGACAAGACCAAAAAATATTTCATTTTTTTAGCCCCCTATTGGGCGTGAAAAGCAATGGATAACTTCATCTCAAATGTTTTGGGTAGGCAGGAAATTTTTATGTAGCTGACAATCTTGGAGCCTAAATGCACCATGTTGGTATAAAATAGGTATTTGCATTTGGTGAAGTACAATTCCACTGAAGTAAAAGTTTTGAAATAAGTAAAAAAAAGCAAACTTTTGAATGTTTTTTCTCTCCTCAGGTCCCGATCAAGGTCACCCCGGAGAAGGGCTCACACACCAGAACGGCGGAGAGACGAGAGAAGCGTTCCCACAGCGTATCGCATCAGCAATAGTCCTGGGAACAGCAGGAAGCGGCCCCGCTCCAAGTAAGGGCTCCTGGACCTGGACCCTGGGGTCTTGGCATCCTAACAGTCTGATGTCTTGTAGACTCCTTAGCTAGAACTTAACCTTTGTATGTTCTGGAGATTAATTTTGATAGAAAAATACTTTTTCGGAAAAAAAAAAATTATGGACGCATTTGTCATTCTTCCCCGTTCTTGCATATGTTTGAACAGCAGCTGTCCAGTCAAATTGGTGGATGTTAATATACTGCTGTTTGCTGGCCATCAGAGTTCAGATTTCACTGGGAGTTTTGCATTACACTCATGTTGGATTATTTTCTCAAGCTGTGATTGTGCAAGCTGTATGACCTCTGTACAAGTCATAGCACAACTATGATGTCAACTTTCTTGACATCACATCATATCTGCATAAGGGCAACGCTGATTTAGCAAACAGTTATTTTACAGTTATTTTACTGGCAGACTGGAATGTGAAGTGTGAATTGTGGTATAGCTATATACCCAGCATGGAGCACATCAGGTACCCCTAAGTCCTTTGTTTCAGCTTTCATACTGACAGACATTTGTGGATCTAATTTCTAGGTCTGAAACAGTTTGCACTTAGGCACACTGTTAGGTCCAGATTAGTCTGAGTGCAATACAACATCTCATTTAAAATTTTGATCCTGTGATTTGATGCATTGCAGGTTGGATCACAAGGGAAGAGGCTTTTTTTTGTTTTAAAAACTGTGGGTTTGCCTTGTAGATATTTTGCATAGCCATAATTCCAGATTTTGTTTACTTTATGAGCTAGGAAAATTGTAAAGGGATATCAACTTACATTTCTTACTGCATCCTTAGTGTCTAGTCTTGTTTGGGAAGGAACTTCCCTCTAGCACAATTATTCTGCAAATCTCCAGTGAAAGGCTTTTTGTTGTTGTCCTGCATTCCGAGTGAGAACCTCAGGAACCAGTAGTTACCTAAGGTAATATATTAAAAAGAGCTTCTGAGAAAGTATTTTGTACAACCATAAACATGCAGTATTGGGTAAGACTAATGCTTGCTGAGTGCAAGAGAAACATCCTGAGGAAGAGGGTATATAAGCTTTCAGAAGTGTGCAAAGTAACTTCAGCTTAGCTAGTGTAATATTCTTCTTTAAATATTCTTCAATGCAATATTTTCTTCTCACAGAAGTCCCCATGAAAAGAAGAAGAAGAGGCGGTCTAGATCACGTACTAAATCCAGAGCTAGGTCTCCCTCACCATCCATGTCGCCAGGCAAACCATCCACACACAAAAATTCTGTACATTCAACTAGTGTCTCTCCCGTGGAGAGCAGGGAATCCAGCCAGGAACGCTCCAGGTACTGTGCTCTGTTACTGTCTTACTGCAGTGCTGCTGCCTCTTGACTGTCAGGGTGTCTGACCAGAGTCATGGGGTGAGGAGTTTTGTGTCTGTGCAATGTGTGCTTATCAAAAGTAAAAGTCACTGGGAGCACAGCACTATCTGCATCAGTGTGATAAATGTGTTGGATCTCTTTTGCTGTCTGGAGTAAATATCTCAACCTTACAGGAAAACAGGTGCAGATAATTCTGCAACCTCTTTCTAAGTTGGAAATTGGAAGCTTTCATGAAATGAGAACTCTTTGAAGTAGAACTTTAATATTGTGGTTTGAATTGTAACATGTGTCAAGATTTGTGATTAAATTATTTCTAGAATATAGAACAGGCTGTTAAAAATTTTCAAGCTGCTGTTCAGATTTGTCTGAGCAGTTGTACAAGTGATTTTTCTGACCCTGACTTATATCCTCCGGTTGACTGAGAGAGCTCTTGACTAACACAGGAGAGACATGTACAATAAAACCCAAATCAAGATGGTGAGTGAAATGCATTTTCAAAATTTTTACTATAAATTTATAATTTTATTTTTTAGGGGAGTTTCTCAGGAAAAAGATGGCCAAATCTCTTCAGCAATTGTGTCGTCAGTGCAGAGTAAAATCACTCAGGTACAAATAGGCAAATTCAGAGTATATTGCCTAAATCAGTATGTCCAACATATTGTTTTCTTCTCTTATCACCTTGGACAATTGTGAACTTCACGTATGATGTAGAGACATGTTCACTGTCTTTATTAATCTGTTTGCTTACAGGAGCAGCAGTTTTGTTGCTTCTCTAGGTGCTGTCCTTTCAATTTTAATCAAGCCTCTAAAGACCAAGCTAAATTCATTAGGCTGCAGTTGTATCCACTGTAAAGATGCTGAAGTCCACGTTACACTGCAATACTCCCTTTATCAACAGCCCATCTTACCATGTAGAGCTCTTAACAAGTTTCATGGAAGAAAGAAATATTTAACTCCTTTCAGTTGGTTAAGCCAACTTTAATGGAAAAGTTGTCTTGATTATGATTTGAAAAATTTACAGTAGAAAATCAGAGCTGCTTTTTATATGCTGATGTTTTTTCAGTTGATAAGTTATTCTTTCAAGAAATAAATATTGTTCAAAAATCTAGTTCTGCCATGGAAATAGTGGTAGTTGGAAATGAATACTAGTGGTCTAGTACATTACATACAAAATTTGATCTATTTCTTATGACAAGCCTTAAACGAGATTATTCAGGAAAAATAGCAAGTATAGGCAGCAGAGAAAGAAAAAGGAGTGTTAATGTCACAGCACTTCTTATGCTACCAAACAAATGCATGGGAATTCCTGGTATGAGAAATGAGGTACAAACTACAGCATGGTCTTTAAAGGAGAGTAAAGATCCCACCCTTCAAATACATACACCCTTCAAAGGTCATTGGTTTCTGCATTTTTGGGTTAAATGTTGCTTATAGCACAGCATTTCCTAGTTTAATATTAGACTGCTTATTTGAAATACAGCTGTAAGAGGCGGAATAATTACTGAATCAAAATACAGTTCTTGGTTGCTATTTGCAAAAAGTAAAAAGTAGGATTGAAACTTGTGTGGATCTGCAAGATATTTTCCAATACAGATGAGTTTATCATCTCTTTATCATTAAGGGCTCCAAAAATGGAATTTAACTAATTATTAGATTGTTGTCCTGGCTGACCCGAACCAAGTCAGTACTTTTTCTTATTCAGATCCTTCCATCTGTAAAGCAGAGGGAATAATGTTGCTAAATTCCCCTCTGGTGTGTTTTGAGAACTTCAGATTCAAAATGCTTTAAAAGCGCTAAGGAATTTATTTATGTTGCATTTGTGAACAAACGTTTCAGTAACTCTGATTTGTTAGTGATACACGCTTTTTATTTTGTCATCATTTTTTGCAACCCAGTTATTCAATGTTGTTTACATGAAATTTCATTTCTTTTTGTAATGCTGTTCCAACTGGATGCTCAGACATGACTGAGCAGTCACTTGGACATATGAGAAAAGGCCTCTGCTGTGTAAATTTTTGGTTCAGATTTACAAAGCAAGGAAAAAACATTTCTGCTTTAGAGTCTTACCAGTTCTCTCTCTTTTTCTCTTTCTCTTTTCTTTTTTTCCTATTATAAACCTCTAGTGGTTAGTAATTGTGTGTTTATTACAGGGTTTCTTTGAAGATATGGTGATAGTTTTTCCATTTCAATTGATGCGATTTCTGTGCTTTGTTGTATAGAAACTGCTCAAAATATTTATGCAGAGCACTTTGTTGCATTTTGGTAAAACCAGAATTCCGTTGCTGTCGTAGGAACTTTCTCCAAATTTTTTGACTCATTTAGCCTAGGAGCTAAACATTTGATAGTCATGACTCCAAGTATCCCACATGACTGGAATACACACTAACCCTTTCATGTGGATTTTTGCAGTCATGTGTTTTATCTCTGTTCAAAGCTCAGACATGTTGGATCATTTTCCTTTTATTTGCTACAGGATCTTATGGCCAAAGTGAGAGCAATGCTTGCAGCTTCCAAAAACATCCAAACCAGTGCCTCCTGAGACCTGTTGGAACTGACCATCAGAAAAATAAAAGAACAATTGGAAAAGAACTGCCTCATCTCAAATGTACAGCTGAGCTTGGCTCACTTGGTTCACAACTCGCCTAATTTACCAGAACTCAAGAAGCTAAAACCTATCTTTCTGTACAGAAGCATCTCCTTGAAATTTCATTAAATTTTTTCAGCCAGAATATCTTTGAAAAGTTTTTGGGTTTTGTAAATTGATTTTTTTGGACTAATTCTTCAATAACATTTTATGATCAGCAGTCTGTATGTGTATATTTGTAAATACTATGTTTCTGTGAAAAGTATTACACAATAATAAAGAAGGAAACATCTTTCATTAGCTAGAGTTTGAGTCCTTAATTGTTTGCAGTTGGGTTTTGTTACAATTTTTTTGTTGTTTATTATTTTCTGCTTTTTAATTTGACAGCTGTCTTGCCTGCTGACCACCTTAAGCTGAGAAATGCTTCATGCACAGGATGATCTCGGAAAAATGCTTGTATACTTGGATGTCAGTAGTAGACAGTAGCTTTTGAATAAGGGATGCGATTTTCTGCCCATGAGTTAGAATGATCTCGGAGCCTCCATGTGAGGGGTTGGCCCTTTAAAGTCAATAACTAATGGTCAGTAGCCTCATTGTCTTAGTGTACCTTATTCTCTCTGCTTAGATACAGAAAGAGGGTATTTCTGGACATTCATCAGGCATCCTGTATAGAAATGGAGTTAAAAGTTATTTAACCACCATGGTTAAATAATTGGCAGATTGGATGCAAATTGTTTGCTTAGTAATAGGAAAAAATCCCAGATCTTTGATAAAATAGACTGGACAGCTTGTTTGGCTGCTGCTTTGCGGATTCATTGTCTTTGGGAAGGTTGTTGCTTTTATGATTTCTTAGAATGTTTTCTCATTCTATGAGCAAGTCTTCTAGTCTTCTGTTTTTTCTTTTCCTTAATCCCTTCTGTGATATGTCTGGAGATTGAGTGTTTAGCTCCAGAAAAATTTAGTATAAACTGCATTTTTACACAGTCTTTATTTTTTTACTGAGGTTTGTTTGCACTTAGCAGTCTCATGGGGAGCTGTATTCTCTAAAAAGTAGTAGTGTTTTCATTATGCTATTTTTTTCTAAAAAAATAAAGGGCTTTTAAAAGGGATGGAACTGCTTTACCAGAATAATTTCACATTTGGAAATCAGTGCAGCTTTTTTTGATCTCTTCACTGGCACTGGCTGTATTGTAACTACTTGTAAATACAGCATGGAACTTGTGATACAGTGAGTGCAATTTCAGGTGTCTGGTATATCAGAAGAATGTGTGACCAGTATCAGGAAAGTGTCTTAAACGCTTTAAATTGGGAAATTTTCAAATGTCTGTTTTCCAGATATGAATTTGCAGTACAGTCCCTAAGCGTCTGGGACCACGGGTCTGGTTCTGGATCAGATGGCGCCTCCCAGTCCCTCTCCCATCCACAAAACTGTATGTACTCAATTCCTTGCCATGTTTCCATGCACCAGCAGGCCTAAAAAGGCCCTGGCTGTATTGCCAGAATCATTTTTCTGGTGAGAAATACACAAGAGTGCTGCAACAGGGAGTTAAAAAGTCAGGAACACTTTGGCTGGAGGAAAGCAGGCTCTTGGTAGCCATGAAGAAAGCACTGTGGCAGCTCTGGAGTTGTCAGTAAGTAGTTTTGGTTTTCTATGTTTCTCAGTTGTATGAAAGCTACATACTGTGAGATTGCTTTGCTTTAAATTCGGTGAAATACAGTAAGTCAGGCAAGTCTTGAGCTGTAGGCACTTTATTTCCTCTGCATGAGTGTAACGAACTAGGACGTTGAATGTTAATATTGCATTTCCAAACAATTTTGGAAGGGTGTTTTTGTCTGTAATGTGCTAGCCTCTCTTTCTCTTAGAAGGATCGTAGTTTGGAAGATTTAAAAAAAAAAAAAAACTTTTAAAAATGGTCAGGTTATCTAACAGACCTTTATTCTCTGTATTGATGCAGAGTAGCCTCTTAAAACAAAGAAATGCCACTGACAGACAGGAGGAGCTGTCCAAGAGGTATTTTCCTCTGGAGATTCACATTCAAGTAATATATCAAAACTACTTGAAATTGATTTGAATCACTTAAGTTATTTGCAGGCATATTTGTAGATATTACAGACATTATCAGGGAAGGGTGATAGGTTTATGTCGCAAAACTAATGGCACAAAGGCATCGCTGCAGCAAAGATTGTGTGTAGCCTTAGGTTCCTCACCTTTCTTTGTTAAATGGCAGTGAAATAGGTGAGGGGTAGGTGCTTGTGTACATCTGTCCACCAATCCCTGCTACCAGTTTCCTTCTGAGCAGATTTCTCAGTACAGGCTGCCACTTCCACAGCTTTGCTTAATCTGCCCACCCAGGTCCAATCTTGATAGTTGAAGCGGTGAATTCAGAACAATTTTTATTAAAGTTGCTCTGATTTGAATTAATCAGATGTGTTCAACAGCCTCTTTCCTGGCTCTTCAGTCTGGTAGGTAACCTGTTAGTAGTAAAACAGTAAACATCATTTGGCCATCTCGGGATGTACTTTTTGTTTTGCCATAGGTGAGGAGACCTGGCTTCCACTTGTTGATGGTTCGGCTTTCAGCAGTTTGGCTCTGTCAAGAAGCTGACAGCCACTGAGATGTATCTGTGGTCTCTTGGTATTATTCATGATTTCATACCTATTGCCCCTTTTAAGTCTTTGTATCACAACATTTTGTTTGACACCAATTATTTTGGAACATACACGTTCTCACTCGTAAGCTTAATGCATTTGAAACATCAAAATTATATTTTTCAGTGGGGCAACAAATGATGACATTTATTCTAAATGTTTTCTTGGATTTAAGGCAATGACTATTATCTTTTGTGAAGACATTTTATTAAGAAATCCTATTTAATTAAATTTCTGCTTAATTAAATTGCATTTATTATCTATTCTTCTTCCACCCCTAGCCTGCAACTGATTATATTAAACAAAGAAATAAAAGACCCGTAGATTGAGGTTAGTAAACTGCTAAGGCATCTTCTTTGCTAGTTTTCCTTTTGCCATTATGATCTGAAAGCATAAAATACAGCATTGCACTAATTTAACATTGTTAATTTAAAAGATTAAAATAACTTGGCTATGACATGAAAATTTGTTTGAAATTCTATAAATGCAGATCTTAAAAGTTTCTTTGTTTTTCCATTTGTGATTTAAATACAAATATGTTCTGAATATCTTGTTTTGCTTTTAGACAGATCCTTTCAGCACAGAATTGTAGTTCAGTGAAGTATTACTTGTAAAAGGAAAGGCTTTATTTGGAGCATTTGGTTGGAAACTAAAATCTGCCTGCACGCTGATGAGCTTTTGGTCTTTCTGGTAGCAGCTGGAGTGGTATTGCTGTTGTTACTCTGTTTGACCCATCGAAGGATTCCTGATAAATCTTGATGCAAAACATGTCTTTGCTTTTTGCCTTAATTTTCCCTGCTCTGGATTACAGAGGAGGTATATTCACCCTACTGCATTTTGTGAAATCTTAAAGCAAGTTGTGAGCATTTATAACAAATCCATTTTTACCTTTCGGGGCACTTGAAACTTCCCTGGTATTAACTTAATATCTTTAATTTGGATGAAGATTATAATCTCTTGGCAACAATTAATCCTGAACACGCAGCATGGCAAACACTATAAAAAGCTCTGCCAGACCATTTTAAAAGTGATGGTGATAATCTGCTGTCTCTGGCTCGCTGCCACACTTTCCTCGGTAGACGTGCTAGGACTTTTCTCTGATAAGGACAAAATGGCTTCCCATGCAATGGTTGCCTGCTGACAAACTAATTTTTCTCTTTACACTGAGTGTTAAACTGATGATCTCTGCATAGGAAGTAAGATGAGTTCTTTTTGATATTTGACGGTGTTACAGATACAGCTGCCTGCTTGGGTAAAAGCAATCCCAGTATGCAAGGCTGGAGGAGGGCGGGTGCTGATCTCCCCAGACAGCACATGTGCTGAGTGGCAGATGTGATGCCTCACTGCAGGGAAACTGCTGTTATCTGGGGATCTCAGATTTTTCTTTTCCCATTTCCTGTAAAATAATCCTAGGGATGTCTTTCTCCAGAGAGAAGTTCCATACATGCTTATTTTTCCTCTATTAAAATGTAGGAGGATTTGGGGTTTCTCATGAAAATGCAATCCAGAGATGAGTATGTGCAACATTATTTATTAGGATATGGCACCTGGGGTGATTGTGGCATTTTCAGTTAAATTACTGCTCTGGCTTGTTATAACAGTTTTACTCCTCCAAAAATGCTGAAGCTTGAAAAAAACCTACCCTTAACTGATCAAGAAATGGGTCAGAGGGTTTGCTATAATAAGAAAAGAAACAAAATCTGTAACCTTAGCTCCTCCTTTCTGAAATTCTAATTAATTTTCTAAGATAAAATGGAAAGGAAATTGTCTGTTCAAAACCAGTAAACTTAAGTAGCTTTTATTGAACTCATTCCCCTTCATAAAAGTTACCTTTAAAAATAATATCCAGTGTAATCTGGGAAATATCTTGGCTGAACACTAGCAGCTTTGTGATCCAATTAAAACACTCCCTGAATCCACACATCCCATTGCAAAAAAAAAAAATTTCTTATGCTTTAAACCTTTGTACATCACGTGAAAAAATTGTCTTCGGTTGCATCTTCTATTTGTACTTCTGAAATAGGTGCAAGCTTGTCTGATTTTTTTAGTCAGGAAATGGTGTAAATTGACAGCCTTAAGCTGTTAATGCACACAGAAACACTGAGATGTGTATCTATTAATTCTACAGAAGGAACACGTTAAATTCCCACTGTTCATAATCTCCTGTTGGAACCAATATTGGCTAATGACTTTAATGGTATCACACTTGGCAGAAATTAAGCACATCTTTCATCCTTTCCTAAAGCTATTTCTGTTTTAAAGCATTGTAGACAAGGAGACAAATTGGACAAAGAGTGATATTATGTGTTGAATTTAAGACAATGCAGTAAAAATGAGTGAGCTACACTGGCAAATCTGATGGAGGTTGTCCAGTGTTTCCTCACTGGCAAAAAGTCATTCACTCAAGTCTGACAACCTATTTGATGATACTGTGGTAGTTTTTTGAGCTTGGGCACAGTAAGGGGTGCTGAAAAGCTGTTGTTCTCCTACTGTGACAGTGAAAATTTGCTGGATTTTAAGGCCAGTGCAACTTTGCCAACAAATGAAGTCTTGTATCTTCAGAGGCAGAAGCAATTCTGTTTTTTTCCCAGAATAATGACTACTTTACATGGAGCCGTGGATAACAGGCAGTATGCAATCAGACTTTCTTTTCAGAAATTATGGAACTACTGGCCTTCATTGCACTTGCTTCCTCTTTCTGACAGTCCTCCCAGCTTAAGGCAGAGGTTCTGATTTAGGAAAGCTAGGAATATGCTTTCTGTAACATCTGAATTAGGTATATCAATTTTTGGCAAGGGCAAATAATTTGAATGCCATTTAGTAGGCAGGGGGTTGGTTTAATTGTCTGTGTCTTGATTTGAAGCAAGAAGCAGCTTAACCTTGCTATGGGTAAGTGGTGCCATCTCACAGAGAGACAGAAATAGAAACAGCTATTGAGGATGTGCATGGGTGAGAGACCCATGCTCTCTGGACTGCCTGCTTACCAGGAGAAAGGGCAATACTTGGATTCCCCAGCTGCACAGTTTCAACTCACTCTTAACTGCGTCCAGTGTGCTGAAATGTCCCTGAAATTTAGGCTTTCTATCTTGCTAACCTCAGCATTCCCCTATGACAGTGCAAAAGAGCACTAATGTGGTAGTCTTATTCAAGCCACAAGCAAACACTAGATATTAACTATTTTATAAAGAAAGAATTTTTTTTGCCTTTATGCTTTAAGAATATGCATACAGTAAATATTACTATTTATCCATAAATAAGATTTACGTTGTGGAAAATTTCCTTCTGTAAGTGGCCTGCCTGCACGGATACTGTTTGCCAGTGTTCTGTAGCTGTGCCTCAACGTAATGCACTTGGCTGCTGTTTTTCATGCTTTGGAGTTGTCCCTTCCCATTTCACCTTGCTGAGGATTCTCAAAAACATCTTGCCAAGTGTGGAAAAAGCAACAAGTTTGGGCAGCCACCAATTGATTTGATGCTCAGGAAAATACATTCTTGCTCCTTTAACACGCTGATCTCCATAGTCTCTGATTTGTTGTTCTGTTTGTGAGTGGAGCTCTGATGGATGAAAGCAGCAAGTCCCCAGAAGCCTTTAAGTACTTTTTTACTTGTGGTATGTGCATTCTGCTTGGCTGCTGACTCACTCATGACTGGTCCAGCTTGTTCCATTTAAAGTAGTACCCTGTCCTGGATTTCTGTGTTTCTAATGAGTACTTCAAAGCTCAGTTCTAACTCTGAACCTGACAGCTCTTTCAAAATACAGTTTTCAAGGTCTTTTATCATCTGAACACTAGAACTTTCAGGACCAAAGTTTTACAGCTTTTAGCCCTTTGCTAGTAATGAGTTTTACACCTTAATAAATACTTCAGCAAAGTAGGTTCTATATGCAGTTTCTGTAAAGTCACTGAAGAGTCTCTGATTTCATTTGGGCATTGTCAGCAGCACAAAAGCATCTTCTCAACAGTCTTCTCTAAATGACCTGTTACCTTAAGAAACAGCTTCTATTACTTATTCTTACATAGTTTGAGTTCAGCCAAAATCTTGTTCAGTCTGTTGTACAAATCTCTCCACACACTGTCTAGTGCCTCGACAGAAATTAATAGTGGGGAAGTTGTGCAGAACCTCCTTGAAAATGCTTGATCTTTGCAGAAGAGGGTCTTTCAAAAAAGCCTTCCAAATCCTTCTGCCTACACCACAGTGCCCAGGACTGTGAGTGATCTGCCAATAAATAATAATGACATACAAATCACACTTCCTTTTCTCCACCTTGTTCGAGGGGTGTTTCAGTGTTCAGCACGTAGCTGAACTCTCTGGAAAGCATTACGGATGATCGCTTGACTTATCAAAAGACGTTGTGTAGAGGTGGCTGCTTGCTGGAAGGCAGCTGTAATTTGAGTTCCATATGTGGGTTTGTTAGGCATGGCTTCAGACAGTGGCAGGAAAACAGGGAAATATTCCGCATTTGCCTCTGGGAATGACACTTGAATGGCTGAGCCAGGGGTGCTTGAAATGAATTAGGCTGTATCATTTCAAGTTGCCTGTGAGTCAAAGAAAGTTTTTGGAAATTCATTCTTTATTGATGTGTTTTCTCTTGCTTCAGAGACAGAAAAGGAAATTTCCTGAAAGATGGGAAAAAAAAATCAACTATTTTTCATCTTGCTTGTAAAAAGTGCCTCAAGATTTTTATGAATTCTTTGTTACAGATTGCCAACAAAGTTAATTGAAAGACTGGACAAAAACCCAGATTTTTTTTATCTGAATTCTTGCCTGTGCTTTGCCTAAGAGCACTCAGTGCCTGCACTATTGAATGTGTCCATGTGCAAAATGAAAATGGATTGCTGCTGGAAAGTTATAGAAAAAAGCAACAAAAACTAACCTTGAATCGCTCAAAATAATTCTTGCATGATATCTTGTTGGCTTAAGGCTGACAGTACCTCAGATGTACAAAACCAACAATGCCCCCTTCTTTCTCGGATAAATTGGATAAGTAAGTGAAGAGAAGCTTTTGTTGTGCCCTCAGCCCCGGCTGGCACTGAACATGCCCAATGTTCTGTGCTTTCCTGTTGCTAATTGGGGTGGCCTCTTCCTGCTGGGGATCTGTTCCACACCAGCGACAGGAAGTCCTGAAGCCTTTGAGAGCCTTTGATGCCAGTTTGTGCCTGCATCTCCTCACAGCAGAGTGGTAAATTTATGAAACACCTCTGCTGGGAAACCACTGGCTTTTCTTTTGGTCTGGCTCTCACAGTGTTGGAAGGAGCAATGATCCATGTTGAGAACAAACAGGAGGGAGCAGCTTCCAACATGCTTTACTGCATGGGAATGACAATGGCACAGCAGCTATTATCATTCACTGAAGGCACAGAGGCTGGCTCTGTGGGGGGATACCGCTGAGGTGAAATCTGCTCCATTATTCTCAATAAGAGATGTGCAGAGCATAAACAGGTCGGTATCTTTAACATGATCAGCAGAACAGCGCTGGATTAACTCCTGTGTAATGCTCTGCTTTACTTACAGCAGCTCTGGATGTGTGCTTATGTAACAGATGTCCCTACATCTAACAGGTGTCCCTGCCAGTGGCCAGTGGCCCTGACCTGCTCACACTATGGCAGGAGAGTTGCAGGTTCGGCAGTAAATCGGCGTCATTCCTCAGGCTCGTCTCTTGGCGCAGCTCAAGGTTTGTACAACTGATGTCATCCTTTGTCAAACAGCTTCCACACCAACAAACCAGAGCAAAAATAACTCCTGTCTCCTACCTGCTACCTGATTAAGGTTTTTAAGGTCAGGATTCTTTCTTAGTAGCTGTCCTGTAACTGCTACAGTACAGTCTGGTCTCAGTCAAGCCCTTTCAGGGCTGTTTTTGTACCAGTGAGTACAGTCCAGGTTGCATTGGGGCTGGATGCTACCATTACATCCCAGTCACACTCCTGAATGGCAGCCAAGGTTCCCTGCCCGGTAAAGAAAATATATAGCAGCAAGTTTTATGACTTACTGAGGCTACAGATAGAATGCAAGGTAGCATGTCTTTCTTAAGGCACATTCATTTTCATCAGAGTGAATTGCATTTTGAAGTAAAATTTGTCAATTTTCTTTATGTGCTGGAAAGCAGAAAGAATCAGATGATATCTGCATTGGAAGGGACCCATCAGGATCACTGAGTCCTACTCCTGGGCTTACACAGGATACCTCAAAAATCCCACCATGTGCCTGAGAGCATTGTCCAAATGCTTCTTGAGCTCAGGCTTGATGCTTTGACCACTTATCTGGGCACCCTGTTCCAGAGGCTTTACCTCCCAGAGAGGCTGTATTTTGTAGCATGAGGGGACTCTCTCATCTGCTGCTGTGTCACTGCTGGCCTGACAGCTCACTGACTCAGACCTGAGTCCAGTAGCCAGACCTGATAATGTGCCCAGCACAGCCCAAGCTGCTCCTGCTCCCCCCCAGGCAGCAATGCTGCTGGCCTGGATGGGAGCCTGGCCATGGAAAAATGCATTTGGGGAGAGAGGCAGAAGAAAAGGAGGACACGTGGAAGGTGGAGGGCTCAGTATCACAGTCCAGCAGCCTCAGGATTAATGCTCAGATGCTTTTTGTCTTGCATGAAATACCAGAGAGATGGGAGTTAAGAGAACTAAACAGTGACTGTGAGTGAGTGGTACTGGCACAGTGAAATCAATTGTGTCAATGGTTTTTGGGCACAACTGGAGCCATCAGCTGGGTGCTGGGGGAAGGGAAGGGGAAGAAACATGGGTCTGATCATGCCCCTGGGGACATTTCCCTGAGCCCTATGCTGATGTGCAGGGGACAGGGCGGCAGTGGGATGGGCACAGCCTGCCAGCACAGTGGCTTCAGAGCATAGGGACACCAGTGTGCAAGGGCTGAAAGCCTCATGGTGGAACAAGAGCAAGCCTGGATCCTACTCAGTCTGGAGAGAGCAGATACCACTGCCCTCTGTTATGGATTTGCTGCTTTATCTCTGGGCTCATGGTTTTGAGACAGGTTGGCCTGAACTGGACACACCACATGAGCTGAAGTGTTTTGTTTGATATTAACAGAGTTGGGTCTTGAAATAACTTCTGCCAGACATTTATCATCTGTGTGCTGACTGCTGATATTCACCTTCCTTAGACCCAAGCGAGGCGCAAGAAGCCTGTAATCCTTTTCTCTCAGAACATTAGTGTAAAGCTTCATGAATCTCTATTAAATTTGAGAGAGAACATGAAGCTGGGTTGCAGCTGTCTTGTTGATTTTGTATTTCCTCTCATTTCAGTGCCTTGCCGTGGAGCCGAGAATTAAATGGCTAATAAGGCATCTGCTCCAAGCAGGAGTCTCAAGATTGTGACAAAAGCATCTTACATCAGGGTTTGTGTTATTGTTTTTTCTTGCCATCACATATTATGTTATTAAAATCATTAGGGATACCTGACTAGGGGAAGTGACTGTCAAAGGCAGCTTAGCTGGCAGAGCAGGTAAGTGGACTCTCCTGGACTTAGCTGGGTGCTGGAGCTGTCTGGGAAGTGGCTGGAGCCGTGGGGCTGGGCAGCATCCACAGGAAGAGGATGGTGGAGGCACAGGAGCCTGTCTGGCTGCTGCTCTCTGCATAACCTGTGATGGATAAGCTGAAATCCTTGAAGAAATAGACACTGAAAGAAACACAGGTGTGCTCTGTTTTGGGGTGGCAGATGGAAAATGCAGTAAAACATCTCCCAGTTTCCATCTGGAAGAGCAGTGCTCAAAGGGAAAGGAACCCTCTCTCGGAGTAGGAGGCAGGGTCAGGGTCAGACTTAGTGTCAGAGAGGGAGTTGGCTGTGGGCCTGTGGGAAGTGGCAGCAGTCCTGTGGCATTCTGCAGTCATCCCATAAGGACCCCATAGCTCTGCACAGGCCTGAGCCTGTCTGCTCATGGGCAGGAGATAAGGCTGAGCCAGCTGAACTGGGGACAGAGAGACTTGTTGGCAAAACAGAGGTGATGGGGCAGGAATTACAAAGCCTCAGAGACTGCTCCAGTGATGGGCCTAAGAAAAATAAAATGTTTTTCTTATTAATGAAATATTGAATATTTTCATTAAAACATTAATTTTCTCTTTTTTTTTTCTTTATGGAAATTTGTTGTAGGCTGATAACACACATTTTTAAAGATGAGGTGGAGGCACTGATACACTCAACTGCCATTACAGGCCAAATGGACCTTGGCTCATGGCTGTCAGAAATGGGGATGCTTTGGCTGTGTGTTGAAAAACCCATTAGCAACAGAGCAACGATCATCCCATATGTGAAAAACGGTTGGTTCCATTCTGCACTGTGGGTGGTTTTGTACAAAGATTTGTCTGCTGGGGACTTCCAAACTTGGATGTTCCTTGTAAAGTTCAACTCTCTTCCCAATTTCTCAGCTGTGGTACCCAGAGATACAGAAATGTCCCTGCTGCTGCAGAGGCCCTCCAGACAAAGAACTTCACAGTCATTCTAGTGATTAAACCTTCATTAAAGTTCACCTTTACCATCTTCAGCCCCTAAGTTTTTCAGTGCTGTTATAATTAACTTTTAAATGAAGGCTTATCTCTAATAAGCAACTGTGTTTGCTGGGTCTTTGGCTGAATTGGAATGAAATAGCAGCATATGGATATTTTTATTCTTTGCTTTTCCACCTCCTCAGGCTTAGCAGGCAGGCTCATTTCAAGTGTAATGTCACCAATTTCAGGGATTAATTAGATTCACATCTTGTGGTATAGTTAAAATACTATTCAAAAATAAAAACAAAACAACCAAAACAAAAAAACTCCACAAGAGGTTTTCTGCTCTGCCCTAAACGTCTAGCATTGTGTGAATGAGAGAGACACATTTGTACCATCAAAGACAATTATGACTGATGGATTGGTGTGATTTGGCGCTTACTTGTTTGGTTTTTTTTCTTCCCTGTAGATGAAGTTCACTATTAAAATTGGGATTTGCTGTGTTAGAAATCATTCCAAGGCACAACCTTAGTCCCTGCTTTTGAATTTTTCCACCTAAACACCAGTAGGAGGAGACTGGTGGTGATTGATTTTGGGGAGGACTTGTCTGCCTTCTGGGTCCTGCAGAAGGGTCCAATTCCTTCTGCTCTGTAAGTTCCTACTCCTTCTTCTCCCCTACTAGCAGTTACCACAGGCTGATGTAAGTGCTGTCCAGCCTTGGGTGCATTATACATTTCACCCCTATAAAATGCTCAGGATGGAAAGAACAGTGTGCTTGTCCTCTCTCAGCTACTCAAACACTCCTGCCTCTGTTTGCTGAATGCTCCAACTCTTCCTCTGGGCTTTTTTTCCCCCTCTCCTTGGAAAGGGGGATCCTTGTTTCCAGCAAGTAGGACATTGTAGGATCATTTCCAGCACACTTCAGGGCAGGGGCTTCAGGTGAATTTGTTTCAAGAACCTTGGCATCAGCATCAGGCTGAGAGCTTCTACATGCAGGGCTGGTCCACCCTTCATCCTCACTTGAGACAGTCCCGCCACAGCCTGACCCTCAAATGCTGCTTATGCAAATCCTCCTTTGCACAGCTAATGGCTTTTTATTGATGCTAACCTGACAAAAAGAAGTCACTGTTTATTAAAACTGCATTGCCTTCCCCTGGCCTTGAATTTATCCTTGAAGTCTAACTTAAAAAGATGCTAAGAGTCCCTGAGTGACTGTTGTCTTGACTCAAAGTGGCTACAAAGAGTTTTCCCGGTGACCTGACAGTACTGTGCAAGCCTCTTTTGCTGGGTTTTTACTCTGAATCTCCCAGTTTTACCTATGTGAACATGTTGCCATGTTTTTCAGGCTGCTGTTAACTCCACCAGACCAGTGGCTGTCCATGTGTTCTCAGTCAAGAGTCTATGTGCCGCAGTTGTGTTCTGGGATATGGAGGCAAGTACCACATGTCTAAGACAGGTACTCACTTCACTTCCATTTTAAACATCTAATTCTACCTTCAGCGAGGTTGGTCTTCACCCTTCCCCTTTGCTCCCATCAAGTTATTGCTAAACACCTTCCACGTCTTGTCCCTTTTGGTTTTAACATGCTCAGATTAACAATGACCATGTTCAGTGGGTAGGAAAGAAGATATATATTCCACTTGACTTTGCTGGTGCTCTTCAGGTCAATAGGAAGAAATTTTTCTGGTGATAAAGGGAAAGGCCATTTAAAAATAAAGCTGTGACAGCCTGTGCTGCTTACACATGAACTGAAAGGATGAGTTCATTTGGGGAATGTTACCTCCCCTCCTGAAATACTTCACTATCTGTTTCTAATCACAGCAGGTACATTTGGCCCCAGCAAGCCTCAGAGAGCAGGTTGATGTTGATGGCCAAGATGAAGAGCAATGGAGAGGCTCAAAAGAACAGAAGAATTCAGTTTCCAGCTCTGCCACACAACCCTGGGTTGGTACCTCAGTTTTGAGGAGTCTTGTGTTCTGCAGGTAACGGCCCCCAGAAGGGAACATCTGGCTCAGAGGAACACAGAGACTCCCAGAGCTGACCCTGCTGTGTGGGCAGCCAAGACAAGTCTGGGGCTGCAAAGGCTACAGGACACCTGTGCTGGGGCAAAGAGCTGAGCTGCTTTACCCTGGTAAAGATACAGCTGCTGCTTCTAAGCCTGCTATATCTCCTTCTAAATCTGCCATAAAGACAGGTGACAGATGATCTCCTCACAGAGTTTGGGATCCCTCCTTGTAGACATTTCTCTTTTTTCTTCCCCTCTCCACACTTATATTATAAAGTTAAGCTCCACTTTTGCCCCACTGCCAGTGCTCAAGTTTAGCACAGTAATTTCCCCCAGTTCCACACCCCTTGCTCACATTGAGAGCAGAGCTATTGCAGTACCTGGAAGATGCTCAGGATAACTGAAGATAGAAGAAGGTACTTTAGTATGGGGCCAGCTAAGAGTCCTGGAGTCATCACAAAATTAAATGAGACTTGGACCTTAAGCACCTGAAAGTCTCATCAAACAGAACCTGCTCATGAAGGATTTGCAATTTATGTTGAAGACTCTGAATGTAGCCCTTACACTGTTGGGGGATCAGCCTGATGTGCCCACTCTGAGGATATCTAAACCTGTCACATACCAGCTTTACTCGCTGCATTACAATAGCATTCAACAGGATTTAAATTAGCTTCAGCACTCTAATCGTGTTGCTACTATAACAGCAGCAAGATAACTCCCAGGCGTTGGTTATGTAGCCTCTGAGGGAAAGAGATTTCAGATGTGTTCAGCAGAAATGCACCGTGTGAGCCATGGTTATAATTTCATTAACAGGATGCTACTCGGCTCCTACTGGGAGTTGGAGGAGATTAGCATTATAATGGGGATCAGGCGCCTTTCCTTGTGTTCACAGGGATCTCCAGCCTGCAGGAGAATGAGCTGTCAGAAGACGTGATCCTCAGACCTCTAGCCCTGTATTTGACACAAACTTGAACCTTTTAGGACATGCTGAGCTCTGCACAACCCCTGCTTGGAGAGGCAGTGCTGCTGGGGATTGGGACATTTGCTGTGCTACCCTACAGGCTCTGGCATCCCATGCTCCATGAAGGGTTGTTCCCATCCTCATGGACCTCTGGCAGCGAGGCCAGGCTTACAGTGATGATCAGGGCAGCTGGGGACTGGTTTCAGTGGGACATAGTGGGATGCTGGGTGGGAGGTGAGGAGCCAAGCACCAGCATGATGTGCCTGCCATCCCTCATTTCCTTGGAACTGCCTGTCCCATGGCAGGGATATGCTTCTCAAAGCCCAGGCCACATCCCTTGGAGGACAAACCTTGACTAAGGTTTGACTTAACACTCAGGCACATCCAGCTAGATTTGAGCTGCTTACAGAGCCAAGAAGCCTAGAGTGACTGCCCAAGTGCCTCCAGCATCCTGGAAACCTTCAAGTTGCCTCCTCCTTCCTAAGCATGAGGACTGCAGTGTCCACTTTAGGGAAGAACAGGTGGGTATCCATGCACTGAAAGGTCTGGATGCTTGCCAAGGAAGACTTACAAGTACTGACCTTTAACTCCCTACCTGCTCTGCAGACAGGAAAATGCAGCCCCAGCATGCCTGAGCTGTACAAGGCTGACATTTCCAAGAGCCCTGAACACCTCCTGCTCAGATTATTGTGCCATGCCTGGCTGTGAACATCATGTTGAGCACTCAGTGTGCATCCTGTGGGAAACCCAAATAGCAGCTGGATGCATTGGCATCACTGACTATGCACGTGGGAAAGACGTGCATAGCCCATGCTCAGCAGGCAGGAGAACTGGGACAGCCCAGCCAGGGTGGCCCCTTCCCATGGCCACCAGACTGACAGCTTCGCACAGCCAAGGTCCCAGCCTTGCCACCAGCCTGGGGATACTGTAGACAGCAGTGGGAAGAATAGGCCTAGATGTCTCCTCTAACAGAACTGCACCAAAACTCACACACACCCAGCACAGGTTTCCACAGGTGCATTTAGCCTTTGTAACACAGCAGTGACAGGCACCTACCACACAACTGCAGCCAGAATGGAGGCAGGAGCTTTCCAGGAGCTTTCAAGCAGTTCCTGAGCATTTTAGCATTTTTAGATATCACAGCATCCCAGTCCCAGCACAGGCTGTGGACATGTTTACACACACACAACCCCCATGGGAGCAGCAGGACCCTGGGAGGGGACAGAGACCTGTAAGAATAGCAGGAGGCCCAGGGCACAAAGCTCTCTGTACTACTTGTCCTATTGCTTTTTAAAGTACACCAAGTTTAAACAAGGTTTCTCTGGGATTTCTCCTGGAACTCCACTGTTTCTCCATCGCTATGGCATCATCTCAAGTCCTTTCATGTGAAGGAGACCCCCGAGGCAGTTGGTTTTGCTGAGCATGTTTCTCACCTTATCACTTACTCCCAAGGTTCATTTTCCTCAGCTCCTTTTATACATTCCAGCTCAAAACTCATGATTTAATTCAATCTGTCAGGATCAGACCCAGCAGGTTCACCCCAGCTTGGGACTCTCACTGGGAGTCATTACCCCAGGAAAAAGCTGCCACAACCAACTGGAACACCAGGGCTGAGATGTCTTTGGAGGCATTTCCTATATTTCAGCAGTGCTGGACAAAATGTGGTTCTTGAATTGGTCTTTGCATTTGAGACATTCAACTTTTTTTCCCAGCTGCCTCTGCCACTGGCTGCTCTGCATCTGATGGATGGGATCCCATCACAGCTGATGCCCCAGGTGCTGATGTCTCCAGCCTTCCTCCCTCAGGAGGTGCTTCTTTCCTCTCCCAAATGAAATCGTTTAGAAAGCCAAACTTTAAAAGAAAAGAGATAAAGCTCTATTCAACTCCCTTATTTTGAAAAAAAATTAAATTAAAACTATTTTAAAAATATTAAAAAAAATGCTCAGCATCCCAGATTTTGTGTGCTCTTGCCGTACCTTTTTTACCTTTAAAGTCTGCAGATTCCCCTGTGATCCTTGGCTCTTGAAGCAAATATGAGAGTAAAAGAGGCAGGACATGACTAAGTTTGAGAATATTTTTATTTGTTCTGAAGTATCTGTCTTTATGCATGTCTCTGGATCAGGAGGTGAGATGGTGTGTTGAATTTTAAATCAGCCCTCCACATGTCTCCTGTTTTGCTAATAGTTTCGGGTGGGGTTTTTTGAAGCCTAAGGAAATAGTCTAATTTTTTTCCAAATGGAAAGCTTGTGAGAGGGATAGAATATTATCTGTGTGCAGAGCAAAGGATGCAAAAGATGTCAGGAGATTTTATTTAGCCAAGAACTAGTACCTAAGATGTTCCTGATCCCACAAGACATAAAAAGAGTCACCTGAGTCTTGTAGGCCAGCAAACCTCCTGGGTGGGGGCCCCTGGGCAGGTTGCCATGGCGTTGTCTGTGTCAGGCTTCTTTTGTCAGCTTTTCCCAGTTTTTTATTATTCCTTTGACTTTTCTCCAGTCTTTCTTGCCACCCGCCTCTAACTGGCCCTTGCCTCTGCCCTTGAAGCAAGAGCAACCAGAGGGCTCCTGGCTGTGACCTCAGATGTCATGGAGGGTCCTGCCTTGTCCCAATACTCTGAGCAGACTCCCCTAGGGCAGGACTGTAGTAGTTTCTGTCTCCCTGGCTGATAGGGCAGAAAATTCTCATTTCTGAACCCAAAATACAAGCATCTGCAGTAATGTAACAGGGCAGGAAAAGTTGTATAGTATCTACTGCTAAGAACTCCTGCATATTTAATGCAAAGTGTATTTTTTGTATAACTGTGTAATTGGGAAATTAAATTGTCTGGATGTTGTCATACATGCTAATTTTGCTAAAGACACAGAAGAAAAATCTTCATCTTCCATATGGCGTGTACAGCTAGAAGATAATGACATTTTAGATTCATACTTGTCATCTTGGTGCACAAAGGTGAAAATATTTTAAGTATGTGCATTTGGCTGGAATGTCTGTGGAAGGAAAACAAACTGTGTACTTGTTTACAGGATTTTCCAAACACTGACAACAATAGGCAGATCAGGGAAGTGTGAACGTGCAAATCAGCTTTACTAGCATTTCTCGTTTAGCATGGAAGTTTTGTCTAAAACAGACCATAGGCATCACCACAAAGAGCTTTCTGCTCTGGGTGCCTATTTGCTTGCTCTTACTTACAGCTTGCAGTTATCTCTATTGTATTCTTATGAGAAGCAAATATTTTGGCTAAAATGTGTTGAAATGCTGTTTTAACTGAGTCATTCATTTGCAATAAATGAAATATAAAGAATGCATTTTGGAAACTATGCTGAACAGAATTGAAATCGTCATGCTGTTCCTTACTTAAATAAATTACATTCAGCAAATCACCTGGGTAATGAATGATGTGAAAACTCCATCGACCCTCATATAGGTCTTATGACATAAATGCAGATTTAAACTTGTGCCATTGAAGTGGGGTTTTTTGTTTAGTGAAAAGGAAAGAGAGGAAAACTATTCACAGTTCAGTTTGTTATAACCAGGCCCTTTTTACTGCCCAGCTCTGCTCTCTGTATCTGTAAGGAGCTGATGGCATCCATACAATGCGTCTCATTATTTTGGGCACAGCTTCCACTTTCCCAGGGAGAGCTGCTCTTCTATTACATTCATTATGGTAAAATGAAGTTAGTGTGATTACTTAAGTTCTTAAATTTGATGCTTAACTTTGAGTATATATACTATATACATTCAAATACAGTGTTTAGAGCCCCTCTGATATTTCTTTGGGTCTTGATGGTCAAGCAGTCTTTCATTAAAGGAGGAAGACTCATGCCATAAAATTAAACTCTTAAAGATTATTTCCTGACTCTTTGCACCTGGCATGGCTGTGGACTCTTTTGGTCTTGTAATTTATGGCAGAAATCTGTCATCTTGTCTCTTGTAAGTGCTTGCTAAAAATGTTTATCAATACGTTGGGAATTACTTTCAACAGAGTACGGACAAAGTTACTATTCATCCACCATAAGTAATCATTCACATTGCAGGTTCTTCTGGTGCAAAACAGATTGAGGTGCTGACACTGCACAGGTGCTAATAACTAATACCTGAGCAGACAGGGATACAGGGCATTGAGATCTACAGAGGTCAGAGGTTGGGAAATTCATTGACATTTGGCCCCCTAAAAACTCTGAGGCTTTTGTGGGGTGAGAAACAAACGTAGAAATAATATTCTCTTGCAATATGCAAGTTCAGCACATTCTACATTTGTTGAAAATGGGTATGCTCTTGCATTTAATGACACAGGAAATAATCTAAAAAGATTAAAGCACATTTGACATGGACCAGTATCCTTAGTTTGGCCTGCTGTCAATCGGCTTAAAACAACTGCCCTGACAGAAACTGAAGATTTTTGTCCCTGATGCCCCTTAAAAACTCGGGAGATGAAGCTGGTACTTACAGAAACGTTGATATTTAGAAAAAAACGGTGTCGGCACCCTGAGGGATTTCACCCAGACACAGATACTAGACCGGGAAGGGAGCGAGCCCGCTCCTGCCCGCGCGGCGCAGGAGGAGCGGGCAGGGCTCGCTGCCGGGGCCGGGCGCTGCGCCGCGGCCAGACGGCGCTTGCGAGCACCCCCCGACTCCGGCGGAGCCCTGACACCGCCTCCCTCATTAGCATCGCTTCCTCCTCCGCCTGCTCTGCCGCCCGGCCGCGGAGGGGTGCGCGGCGGCGGCGCCGGAGCCGCGGCGATCCCCGGCAGCAGCAGCTGCCGCTGCTACCGAGCCGCGCTCTGCTCCGTGCCGGCGCCCGCAGCAACTTCTCTGCTCCGAAGGCTGCGGAAGCGGGGCGATGTAGCGGCGCACCCGGCAGCGCGAAACAGCGCGGAGCAGAGTCCCCCCAGGCTCCCTTCGCGGTGGGGCGGAGCGGAGCCCCCCACCCTCCATCCTCGGCGGAGCGGCACGGAGCGGAGTGGAGCTGCCCGCCTCTTTTCCTCCTTCCCTCCCCGGCGGCAGCCGCAGCCCGGGGCGGGAGCGCGGATGCGGCGCGGAGCCCGGCGGAGCGGGCGAAGAGCGGGGGAATGCTGAGCCCCGCCGCCCGGCACCGCGCCCGCCTCCGGGAGATGCTCCTCGTGCTCGCTCTGTGGCTGGCGTGGCAAGAAGCGCCCGCGGCGCCGACCCCCGCGGCGGAGGACATTACCCGGGGAGTTGTGAGTTACCCGCGGCCCCCCGCTCCTCTCCTCTCCGCTCCCCCCTTCCCCCCCACCCGACTCGCCGGGTACTCCCCCACCTTCGGGCATCGCGGGCCCACGCGGCGCTGGGCGAGCTTCGTAGTCTGGAAACGCTCCCAGCCCAGTACCCCCTTTGCGCCAGTGCCCTCCGTCCTGCTCCCGCTGATCGGGCCCTTTTACACCCGGTGTCCCTCCAGCGTTGTCTACGTGGTGCCGCTCGTTGCAGCTGGTGCCCCCTCTGCGCAGACAGAAGGGTCTGTTTTCCCCCCCCCCGCACCCAGTGCCCCCCACCCCATACCCTCTGTACCGAGCCCTTTGGAAGGCAGAGTCCCCCTCCCTAGCACCCAGTGCATGGTGCCTCTCCTGCACACCAACCCGGTGACCTAACTTTCCCCCAGCCGAGCATCGTGGGGCGATGGCCTCACCAGCTTTCACACATGGATGGTGATTTCTCAGGCGCTGGGAAAGGGCTGGTCTGTCTCGAGGGCTCCCTGCCTGCCGTGGAGCCGCACAAACTCCAGCAGCAAGCAGGGTAAAACGGCACGTTTGGAGTCAGAGCGATCCCCTAGGACTGAGACATGCCTCGGGAATGTGCTAAGGGCTGCTCTGTGCCGGCAGCAGGTAGAGGGTTGGCTTCATTACGGGGGTCTGCACAGCGCGGACATCTTTGTGGTCCTGCTTCTCCCCTCACAGGTGCAGGAATCTGCAGGGATATAGCAGGTTTCAGCAGGCATGGAGAGTGTAGGTCACGTCTCTGCCAGGTCACGGTGCCAGCAGGTCTATACAGCTTCACCCCTCTGAGAGCGAAGAAATTAAGGATTTTCTCCTGAAGGAGGAGAAGTTTCTTGTAGCTTATACCAGCTGTAGCTCAGAGACGCCCCGCGACTATGTCAAACCTGCGTGTCAGAAAGCCATCTGTGGGCGGGCAGTCCTGAGGCTGGACCCGCCAGTTTGTAGAAATTCCCTGAAATTTAGTGCATTTCGAAATGCTGCCAGTGCATTGCTGTGAAGGCGGGAGGGAGGAAGCGTTTGCCCACGACAGGGTTATCTAACGAGCAGGGCTTGCTTAGAGCAGTGCGCCAGGACGCTGCCTCCGCTGCCCAGGCTCCGGCTCCAAGCGTGTGCTTCGGCTCACAGGCTCCGGCTCAGACACCTGCCGGGAAAGACAAAGCCTCTCGTTCCCCATCTGTTCCTAGGAGAATAGAAAATGTGGTGAATATAAAGTATACCTGCATCATTATGGTGCATTCACTTTCCTCTGTAATCAGATGTTAAAGCTGGAATTAATATTTCATGCAAACAGCACACAGATTGATGTATTCTGCCCCAGTCAATTTAACTCAAACTTTATCTTTGACCTGCTTTTACCCTCGCTACGGAATAAGCTGCACTCAGCTTTTACAGGGTAAATGTTAATACTCGAGGGGCTTATTAGTTACTGATGACAACTTTGAGGCATTAAGGTACTTTTTTAGTCCTGGAGTAGATTTGAGCACTCTCCAAACCCTGCTGAAGACCTGGGGCTGCCTGGCAAAGCAGAAGGTGCTGGGGATGGTGGTAATAGAGCAGAAGTGAACTGCGGGAGACGGGAGTTACATTAAACCAAGACTTATTTAGGCTAGGAATCTGACATTTAGGATGTATGATTGATGTCGTGGTGATGTCTCCCTCCTGTTGATAGTCTTGCTGGGGCAAAGGATCTCGCCAGCTTGAGACAGCATTGGTGGGTTTCCAAAGCGGTTGAATGTAAATCAGGTTTGCTTATGCTTATGCCCTCTACTGAGCAGCAGGGAGCACAGAAGCCAGATATTTTCAGAAGTCTTGTTAGAAAACTACCACTTTCAGGGAAGCGAGAGCCTAAAGAATGATTTGACATCCACTTTACGAAGCAACTACGAAGTTAACGATCTGTGAGGCATTTCAATCAAATATTTGAAATCTAGGAAACGTGACACCATGCCAATAGAAAGCTCTGCTAACCTTGGAAAATTACATCCAGCGATTCTCTGCAGTAAACAGAGCACAATGTCGACAAAGCTTTTATATCCCAAATGCTCACCCCTTGAGGTTTTTCTAGAGGTTTTCAGTGCTGAACTGGACTGTGCCTCTGAGCTGTGTCTTCTGCTCCACTCCTGCTTGGAGTTTGTTTTAAATGAAACAGTGATGGTGGGCCAAATTAAAGTTCAGCAAAATGAGAGGGCTAAAATTCTAAGGCAGTTCTTGTTAGCATGCTGCCCAAAGCATGCTCATGGAATGGAATGATTCTCCAGATTTCATTACTAGTGGAATATCCTGCCTAGTTTATAAATCTAACTTGATTATTAATGTTTTTATTGTTCTCCATTAGCTGCCCTGACAAAGAGAACATAAAAGAGCTGATGGAACAGAGCTTGAATGATTTCACTGAATTTTAGTACACTGCCTTTGAGATTTATGACTTTGCATTTTGCACTGCTGCCTCTACAGTAAACCCCCAACCCCTCCTCACCACAGCATTCGCAAATTGCATCTTTTTATGGCTGTTGAGCTCGGGCATCTCTGGGGTGCAGGCAGCAAAAAACTTCCTATACACTAATAGTAACTTAGTAATGAGAGCTCTCATTTCACTGGGCTTTGTACCAGGTCTGGGGGGAGGTCTACCTTCAGGCTGTGCTTTTCAGAATGGCTGGCGTGTGGAGCCTGAACACTGAGGGTGCTGACGTGGAGATTGGCTGGTTTGTAAGGGCTGTTCCTGCTGGCAGCTCCTGCCCACTGGGCTGCATTGCTGCTGTTGTGGGGACATGGCTATGCAGCGCAAAACCGGTGGCTTGGCGGTGGACTGATGCCTGAGGCTGGGCTAGCTTGGCCCCAAAGGAGATGTTTTGCCTTAGGGAGTTGCTTTGCCTGGCCCAGAGGTTGCCAGAGAGGAGTTGACAGTGGGGTGGTGGTGATGGCATCACTGAGATCATCCTGTGTGGACATGGGCTCTGGCATCAGTGGCTGAGGGATGCAGGAGTGCCAGGAAAGTTTTAGTTTGGTTGCAAGACCATGGGTGAAAAAAATAAGACTGTGAGCGGCTTTATCTTGACTTTGTGGCCAGGGGTGAGAGGGAAGGTCTGTGCATGCCCCTAAGGCGCTTTTCCAGCTGGGGATTGCTGGGCATTCCTGGGGGCTTTCGTATGCACAGCCTCCTGCTCACAAAGCCCTGTCTGTGTTCCCAGAAAAGTTGCTTCCAGGGTTTGGAAGCATTTGCATTCATCGGTGGAGACCAGGACCCGTTGTCCCCCTCTGCCGTTATCCCAAGTGGCTCTTTGTTTAGGGCAGGGCCCTCGCCTTTGTGGCCGCTTCTCATTTGAATGACAAGGATGCATTTGTGGGCATAGTGTGGTGGCACAGAGCCCTTCGAGGCTGTGCCCCCCTCCCCCGCTTCCTCCCGCTGGATGTGGTGGTGGCCGGGGGAGAGACAGAGGTTCCTCTGTGTCCCCGTGTCAGGGAGCTGCCGGACAGGAGGAGCAGCAGTTTCCTATGAGTGCGTGCCCTGCCTCTCCTAAGTGCCAAATTTCAGAGTAGAAGCCAGCCCAAGACTCATCCTTGCTGTTTCTGGGGTGTTTTCCCAGCCCTGAGTAGGGTAGGACCATCCTGCTGCCCACGTGGCTGCATCCTGGTCCAGCTGCTCTCTTGCTCCCATCTGCCCAGTTAGCCAAGAACTCCCCTAAACTCCTGCATTTAAGTACCCAATGGGGCATGTCCCTGAGACATTGCTTAGGTCCTGGTTCAAGACTTGGGGTAATCAGCCTCTCAAAGTAAAATCCTTGTACAAATGTAGGCTGTTCCCTGTATCGGGAGAAAGTACTGTACTTCTTCTGTTTCTGCTAATGGAGAAATTAAAAATTGATAATTTCAGTTGGAGCTTCATTCAGCCTTCTAAAATGGCGAGTCTTTAAGGACAGAATACTTAATAGAGTCCCGAAACAGCCTTGGAGAGAGGAGCTTTGCTTGGCCCCTCTGCCATCAAAGTACTTCATGCCTTTCCATATGGAGCAGTGCCCATCCTAGGTCCATGAATTCCCTTCAAGAAAGCTAAGCTACCATATTTAAAAAATAATGAAATAAAGTTGGTTACATTTTAAAGTACCTCTTGAAGCCAAAGTATAATGCAAACTAAATTGACAAAAGACTGTCTGGAAGCTTTCAAACAGCCAGGCTGCTGTGAAAGCATTTAATCTGGTATTAAAGCCTTAGTTGATGTGAGCTGCTCCTTTCCTTTCAGATTTGAGACCTCCATGTACAGTAATGCAGTTTCCTCCTGGGCTTGGCTGCTATTGTGGTCCCAGCCGTGGGAACTAGCCAGGGTAGTCAGGCTAAATTACCCACTTTAATGAAATAGGGAAGTGTTCAGAGCCAGTGGATGAAACCCTGCTGTCACCAGTGACT